TAATGATTACAGCCATTAAGATATGACGCTCCACTTCCTTGACGTAAATAAGCAGAGATGACAGATGGCTTCTTGAGACAGAGTTTTATGTTGAACTGGTTTATGACTACTGTGTATCCAGCACAGAATCAGAACCAGAATCAGTTTATTGGCCAAGTATGTGTGCACAAACATAAAAACTGACTCTGGTAGACTTTGCTCTCTGTGTACTAACATTTAACGTCAACTATTACACAAATAAGAACAAACTTTGATATTTAACTTATATACACCAGACTGTTTCACGCAGTAGTGCGATGATTAGGAGTGCAGAGGCTTTCCTAGTCTGTGTCAGAGTGTTTCTGTACTTGAGTCTGAAGTATTCAGCTGCAAAAGTGATTTTAGATTATAAATGTTAAGAAATTAATCAATAAAGATCTTGTTATTCTCCAGGATATCAAAAGGAACACGTCCATTGTTGGTTCACTCAGTGGTGTTTTTCTTTGCCTTGTTGTTCAAGTACCTGAATCAAGTAGCAGGGGTGAAAAAAACAGATTTCAAACAAAAGCTGTCCACCTTTCCTGGACTGTAATATCTACAGAGCGAAGCTGCATGATGCTGTCACTTTTCCTGTGCTTTAGTCCGTCTAAAATGAGTTCTTTACCGACCATTAGGAAACTGAATGTATACAAAGACATAAGAACATCCTGAACCGCCATGAAAGTCATCAGTGTGTCAGAGACAAAGTAAACTGTCTTTGTTGGTATTTTCCGTTTCAAAAACAGGGTTCATAAAACCGACGAGTCCAGACCCTCCCAGTCCCAGACCCTTGTGTGCTGCGATTTTATAATTTTATTCCTCTTGATTTCTTCTGATCTTGATAACTTTTATTGGCCCCCGTCCTGACGTGGCACAAAGGAGGACAATGTTCCTCAATCCCAGTCTGTCATGCCCAGACAATCCGTCACGCCCGTCTTGTGTCTCCAACAGACTTAAAAGATCCCCATTGTCGTTTGTACAGGACAAACTGGGCTTTCAGCTAAATCCAAAGTCAACCAATTAGCAGCAATTTTAGATGCAAAGAGCAGGCGCTTCGAGTTCGTTGACACAGGATGAGGACTGAGAAAGTCCGTGATGGGAGGACGTTTGGGTTGATTGATTGAGTCGGACAACAAAGAAGTTTCACCCAGCAGAAAAATCACATGTGTGACTAAAAGTCAGTGTTGACTCATTGATTTTGATCACAGGTTGTAGATATTTTTATAAGAATGCTTGATTAACATGCAGGACAGGATTTTGGTATCAGAAGTCTGATATCTGCTTGTTGTCCTTGAGTTTCATCCACATGCTCTTTAGTTATATTTATCAATCACATTCTTGCTCCCTTGCTCACCCCTACCACTGCAAAAGTGAAGGTGGCCTTCGAGGGACAAAAAGCCAATATAATGTATGGTAAGTATTATTCTCCCTTTGTCAAATTTTACCATTAAAAATGACTTTTATCATAAATCATCTTTTCTATTATACACAACTCCTAACCAGTGTCATTCACATGTCCACTCACTGAACACAAAAATGCAAAAGATTCTATTTTGTCCATTCTATGCTACCATCCACAGAAGGAGACCCATTCCACATATGAAGGGCTCATGTACGGTTATCAAAGACAAAACAATCTTTATATTCAGGTGATTACATGCTAGTTTAAACATAATTACAGATGATCTAGTCCATTCCTACCATGTCTGTCTTGTTAAATGTGGCTTAACATCACACACTGCACCTTTAAAACACAAGGTATCAGACCCTGCAGGTAAATAATGCTGATTGATTTTCAGAATGAGCTGAATGTGAGCAGAGCTAGTACCACCAGCTTCCCGTCCTACATGCAGGTTAACGTCCACATGCCTGTGTTGGTTACCAATTACATCCCAATTTAACTTTACACAACAAGGACAAAAAATACTGCTGAACCACACTGCACTATGAGACGTCATCTATTATCTATGCTTGTTTACATCCAGGTAGTAGAGCAGTACAGTACAATGATAGAAGCCATCAGAGCTGGTGACTGGGCTTCAGCTTCAATACAACATTTGGCCATTATTTTAGGCGATCATAAAAATATCAATAATAGAAGAAGCATACTGTTAATTCTGGAGCCAATCGACAAGCTTAAAAGACTTGATCATGTAGTTGATTCAGCATGCACATCTCTAATTTGTATTGGGCTTTGACTATCTCTGAAATATAGATTTGTGTTTCCAATAATTTCATCATTAAGAGCTGAATAATCTTTAAATGATACCCAAAGAGTTCTGAGATGGCATTGTTTTATACGACACTGTTGGTGAGTCCAACATAATGAACTGGAAGATGTGATAATGGCACGCATTATAAAGAATAAATAAATAATAAAGAATACTAGAGTGAGCCGTGGGTGTGTCTTCAGTCCAAATGAGCTGTATTATGTTAATCCATTTACATACAGGACAATATGGCTATATCTTTTAATACTGCAATGCTCCATTTCTTTTATTTACTTTGATCTCAAACGCCTTCTCATTCTAAACTGTGTAAACTTAAGCCAATACATCAGGAACACCACCCTACAGCTCAACAATGCATATTTACTCATTCAGCCGTCCTGTTTTGGAAAAAAAAAAAAAAAAAGCTGCGTCAGAGCTGCTGGACGGACTTGTTTTTGTCCGGAGTCCACCCCTGAGCGCTGGCATGTATATTTTAGCTGTATCATAATCTACTGTAAGGAAATATGTTGAACAACAAACGAGCACCTGAGCTGCAGCGTCTATAAAAAGAGGAGGAGGACACTGCCAGCTCACCTTCACCTGCTGAAGACCGAGGAGCAGGTATGTCTTTAAGTTACAGATTCGTTATTAAATCAACTTTTTAAGGATGTTTTACAGTTATTAATGCGTTTGATCAAAGTGAAAATAATCTAGCGTTAAAAAGGAAACAGCACCTTCTTTACACGTTAATTTTTTTTTTCATTTATTGTTGTTTTTTAGCAACATTTAAAATTTTTTGACAATGCCTATGAATACTGTGTATTAAAATATCGTATACATGAGTAAAAAAGACACTTTCTCAGTTTGATTCTTCTCCGTCTTTCTAGGAAAATGTTTGTGTTCCTGATTTGCACCCTGACACTGCAGCAGGTGCACTCTGCATGTGTTGTGGTGAGTAATATGCATGAATAACGCTGAGTATTATAGGCTGTAGTCACACAAAATGTTGTGTTATGAATGTTTACCATAGACTTATGCAAGTCTACCTTAGTCAAATACAGTGCTCTACCATCACACAGCTGTAATATATTGAGTCAGATTAATGTTGAACATTTTAACTGAGAAGCTACTTCATTTGGCGTTTTGCATTTAAAGGTTCAACCTGCAATGAGAAGCAAATAAGATGATCTATTTATGCCATAACCTCGATATTGTTTAAATTGTTGATTCAAAAAGAGGATTTATCATATTACTCCTGCAAAATAGACATAATTTTCTCCCTGCACTTTCACTGATATTAAACATCACTTTTTATTGAACTTTATGACTTTGAAGGTTTTGGAGGCTATTTGATTTTCCTCTTCATGACAGTATGTCGACCTTCAAGATCGTCTTAAATGTGTCATAAACAAATGAATGCATTACTTTTATTATCATTATATCTATGGCAGTTAGATAATAAATTTTTTAAATCCCAATCAATCACACGACTTCAGCGGTTGGTTGACATTAATCACATGATCTGTATGTTTTTAATTTTATATCAAAAATATAAAGCAGTTCTTCCCAGATCATGTGTTTCATGTTGACAGTAAAATCTCAAGTTTTACACATGGTAACTGTCGTTGACGTGTTGTCGATACACCAGGATGGTAACCTACAATAAACCTTGTGCATATGACTTTTGACTTCTCGTCTGAAATTTTGACATCAAGCTTTTAGAATCAAATGCGCTTTTCAAAAGTGCAATTTTTTATCATGACAACAGCAGCAAAACGTGAATATTAGCACATATTTTCACCCAAAAAAATAAAAAAACCAGACAGAATGCATCAGTCCTGCACCCAATTTGCACCACAATATCAAAAGCTATACTCTGAACTAGTCAGTACTTCATGTAGACAGAACAACTATAATAACATCACAGTTTATTGAATTATGTGTGCAATGAAAACCAGTTTTGCTTCAAATGCCTTAAAGCTCCTATGAGTGATTTTTTGTTTGTGTAGATTTTGTCGCCCCCTTGTGGACAGTTACACCTCCTATCTCTTGTCCTGTTAATATTAAAGCTGTTTTTTCTCCTTAAAAATGTGCCTTACTGTCTTTTAATAGGAAAATGTAGTGAAAATATAAATAAAGACCATTTTTCAGCAGGTTATCTGACACCTCCTGCACAGCTACAGTTTCAGGGATTGAAAATAAAACAAGAGTTAGTATCGGTCATCAATCATGTTCGTATTTACTTTTGTAGCTTACAGATCTGTAGATCAGGAGCTTTAAGTTTAATTCAGATAGGCATTTTGGTTTAAAGGGTGCGTTTTTATATGACAGTATGTAACTAATGAGCTCTTTTCTTTCCAAACACGCTCCTCTACACTCTTTGGTGTGTCCACAGAATGGTAAGCACAGAGTTTGCTCCATCAAACTTGTTGAACTTTACAGATGTAATTCATCTACCAGTATAAATTTCAGAGCACACCAATAAGTCTCTGAATAAGATTATGGGATTTGGCTCCATCCCTCTGTGTGTGTTCTTTTGTTATGTGGAGCCGTCGCAGAGTAATTAAACCAGGATATGTTTGTGAGTCATACTGATGTTATTAAGCCAGCAGAGTAAATATCACTCTTTATTATGTCTTTAATCTGCTATTGACTTATTGGTTTTATGTGTGCATGTGTGTGTGCATGTGGGTATGTGTGTGTGTAGAGTTGTGCACAGAAAACGAGAACGTTAAGAAGGAGATCCTTGACCGCCATAATGCCTACAGGAGAATGGTCTACCCGCCCGCCTCCAACATGCTGCTGATGGTCAGTCTTGTTTTATACCAGCACAATAAAAAGGGGATTAGATCATGTTTTCATCGAAGTACTAGCTTTTGTTTTGCAAAGAGAATACAGTGCGTGTCTTCTGTACACCGCTAAAAAAATCACAGAAGCTTTTCAAGGATAAAGATTTGTGAAGAGATAAACTATAAGGAACTTTCTACATGTGGCGCTCCCTGTGGTCAGACTTTTGTATTACCTCTAATTTTGTTGCTTGCATTGCCTTACAGGTTCGGTAAATACAGTTCAATATCGAATTGTCTCATCTACTGTCTGTGTTAAGGTTTATGGTTTTTACCAGATTACTAAAGTCCCTTTCAGACATAAAAAGTTCCTGAAAATTTCCCCTAATGTCTCTGTGGCGAGTCTTCCTTCATGACGTAAACCAGAATATTTCCTGCTGGTCCTTTAGGATCATTTCAGGGTGAAGTCTGGGTGAGCTTATGCAAGAATGCAGCAGATAATTTCAGATAATTCCATGAGTAGTGTCACAGAAAGCAGGAGGGGGTGTTGATGTTTCTCATGCGGCTGGTGTTCTGCTCTAAGGTTGAAAAAAGCTGCAAAAGCATGAATCAATAAGGTGTAAAAGGTCCTGAATTGGCCTCATATTCACATTTACATTTAAAGGTGGGGTAGGCAGGATCTGAGGAAGTTCCAGTTTTTAGGAGAAATCTTGAATGTAAACTCTACCCCTACCAACCAGTTTCCCCCTCAGCTCCTCCTCTCCCCTCCCTCTCTGCTCCAGTAAGCCCCGCCCACAAACAGACGCTCCTGCTTGCTTGTATCATTCCAATTAAATTCAGATATAATGCAGATAAATACTTCAGATCATTACAAATGGGGCCCAGTCAAGGTGAAAGTCAAAAGCATTGGTGCTACTGTAGATGCCAACAGACTACCAGCAAACACAATGTTTGCAGGACTTCTACAACTACGATAAAGTGACATAGTCCAGGACCCGAGGGAGGACAGTTTAGCGATGGCGCTACAACACGCTACAGCAGGTCCGTTTGACAAGAAACACTTCTGTTACAGACACTTGTCTTACTTTGTTAAAGCGGTTTACCTGTCCAGCAGAAAGGTTACAGGGTCTGTAAGATCCCGAAGCGTCCCCCATCGTTTATGTTGACCCGGCTTTTTAGCTCTTGTCCGGTCTACCTCCTTTTTAAGCGCCCGTTATTCTGCCAGAGTCTCCGGTATTTCGTTAATTTTCTTGCTTGTGTCGGCAGTCGTGGCCAAAGGAGGATTCAGACAATTTTCCGAACTTTCTGGTTGGTTTCTACTGTCCGATATTGTAGCACGCTAACTTTGTTTGGGCTCGTGAACGACACAACACGTCAGTGGATTTACGAACAGACACATATTCACAAAACATGAGATGAAAACAAGAACAAAGAGAATAAGACAAAAAGTAAATTAAAACTTATGGAGGAGATAAGTTAAAGGATCAGAGGCTTCAGCGTTCATGATCAGCCTCCTGAAACCCCCTCCATTGCTGGGTTGGAGCCCCTTATATTTCCTGTAATATGGCTCACTTTCAGCCTGTTGCCGTGACGACCTAACAATTTGACTTCTTGACTCGTCCATGACGGATATAATCATGTAGATTCAATGTTTAAATAAGTTTAAAAGTTCAGCAAAGTCATTTCTCTTCCTAAAATCAACAACCTCTAACGTTTTCACTGTAGGGAGACAAACCCAGCTGTCCGTGCAGCACAAATACAAATGTAAAGTTAGACCAGAGTATAAAGATGATTTATTCCCTTTTCATTCAGAGTTAAATGCCTGGAGGTTTAAGGTTTCTGCCTAAATGCAAAAAGACAAATCTCATGTTTGTGTTGGAATTCATGTTCTTGCTTTTGGTCTCTGAGGATTCGGCCACTTCAATCATAACCTTCACGTACTGTAAGGGCTGGAGTGGAAAAATGTACGACGGAGGAATCTATTAGAGATACTTTTCTACAAAATAACAATCCAGGGCTCAAACGCAGCGTCTTCCAGGAGAATGAATCTCTCTCTGCTTTGTGGGTGTTTAAAATAAATCTACAGATGTCTTTGTTTTTCTCTCCTCTTGCAGAGGTACAGTGAAGAAATAGCTGACATTGCTCAGTACTGGGTGGACTTTTGTATTCTGAAGCATGGACCACCCGGCACCCGCATGATCGACGGTATTTTCCACCCTTTATCTAGGTGTAATTCTCCTTTAACATTTTACCCCTGTATTATTCCCATAGAATTTCAATAATCCCTCAGAGATGAATTCAGCTTTATGGCTCGCTGTGAACTGACTGACCTTATGACTGATGGTAGCACTGAGCGTTATCTGATCTCCAGTCTAAAAACGGTCTTTAATAACAAGTCACACAGAGTAGGATATGTTATCATAATGTAGATTACCATCAAAAGGCCTCTTAATGAACCCTGTTTTATCTAAATAACTTATTCCAGAGGGGCATGGATATCAAACTGTACATTTGCAGGGATTCATTAATCAGTCCTGTCATCTGTTTCCCTCCATGGAGCAGGATACGAGCTCGGTGAGAACCTGTTCTACTCGTCCACACCTCTTTCATGGACTGAGGTGATGGATGCCTGGCACAGCGAGGCGGAACATTATCACTACCCTGACAGCGCTGACTCCACAACCGGTCACTACCTACAGGTAAAACTGAGCTGCTGACCTGCTGACATGAATCTGAGTTTTTCTTATCCACGTAGAAAATGAGGTTTAGTGAGTTCTTGCAGGTCAGAACCCATTATAAGAGTGTTCCTGACTCAATGCCGTTCAGTCATTGACTGAAGTGTTTACATGGAGCATTTTCTTTCTATCATATCATGTTAACCTCAATATCTATTTAGTAATATATACGTCTTTTAGGGCTGGGCAATAAACCGAAAATTTACCGATACCGAAATTAACATCAATAACTGATGTCATTTTGCCCATGTCAATATATTTGGTGTCAAAAAAATAAATAAATAAATAAAAGTTGGTTTTGGATGTGTGTAGGAAGGCAATGGTCTCACATCCCTTTAAGATGCTGTCCTACTTCAGAAAAAGACAGGTGAGGAGATGGAGGACGGTTCAAAAGTTGTAGCGGCTGAAGTAAACTAAGTTAATGTGGGAGGGGGTGAGCAGCTTGTGGAGTAGTTATCGTCCATTTATGGTTATCGAGGTGAACTGCTCAATATTTTGTGATATTGATTTGAGGACATATCGCCCAGCCCTAAGGTCTTTGTTATTGTAGTGATTTTGTGTTTGAAATTTCAGTGTTGACTTCTGTAATCTTGCATATTTTTTTCTGTGTGTGTGTTTTGGACTTTTGCTTTGTTCTTATGCATGAATATAAAGGTGTTATATATGCATAATTATTCATCATCAACAGTAGTAGTTGTAGTCGTACTTGTATGCTGCATGTAGATGCAGCTGGTTAGGTTGTAATTGAAATCAGTTGCTGGCATTGATTGACCAAAAGATAATTTATAAATATTTTTCCAGTTCATTACTTTTGATACTGGGAAAAACGCAGAGTATTTGTACTTCTTCATACGATTACTCGATTGGTATTGTTATCTAAATGAAAAAAATCAAAATTTCGAGTTAAGTGAATTAAGTTGAAATTTCAAGATTAAAAAAGTCATAATAAAGTAATTACTTACAAGAATAAGTCCTTATATTCTAACCTGTTGTCTAAGATGACAGTTGTTGAAATGAGAGCCATGGAGCATTTCGTGAAATAAATGTACTTCAATATTGGTTTTTCAAACAAGGAGATACTTAACCTATTGGCACATCAGCACCACATTATCATAAGTATCATTGTGATTTTATAACGACTTTATTCTGGTAAGTTATGACTTTATTACAACTTCATTCCCATTAGTAATGACTTTATTCTTGTTATTAGTGACTTTATTCTTGTAAATTAACGACTTTAATCTCAAAGTCTTATTTTTTCTTCCTTAATGTGGCCCTAATACTCCGTCATAAGATTTATATTAATCCTATAAAATGAGATTTTCGTATTTATGATCATGATGCGCTGTGTACAAAAGTTAAAGTTGTCTAATAAATTTTATGAAACTAGAGAGAAAAAGTGCCATGGCTACAGAAACTCCAGCAAAAGGTGGTCAAAATTTTAAGAAACAAAGTCCTCAGATAACAGAAACAATCACTGCTGGTGTACTGAAGGAGGACGGATAATCAACCACCCGTCTGTCTGTCTGTCTGTCTGTCTGTCTGTCTGTGTAAAGGATTTTAACAGATTTTCAAAAACATCTGTAGGTTCTGCAGAGTGCAGGGATGTTGGCAGCAGCACTTTCACCATGAATCCTGAGGCCTGTATGTGGAACAGAGAGTAAATTTAACATATTTGACCTGAGGGGATGAGTTACCTGCTCAGGGAGAGTGAGTTCAGGCAGGTATTCGGGGGCCTGACAGTGTAGAGATCAGAATTTTAAACTGGATCCTAAAAGCGATCCCTCCAGCAGAAGAAACAACAGAAGAACGTGTGTTTTTAGGAACCGCTGCTTATTGCAACAGTACTATCGATCTAAAAATACACAATTACAGTATCAAAAATACAAAGGATGGCGTTTAAAACTAGTCTTAAGAAATCGTGATACTATTCCAACAATGAACCTGCATTTTAGAAATGAAAAAAGACACTAAATCACTGCTTTTTTGTGCTTATTGTCAGATTGTGTGGAACAGCTCCTATAAAGTCGGCTGTGGTTTTGCATTGTGCCCTGGGAACATCCACTTTTATGGCTGCCAGTATTTCCGAGCGTATGTGACATCCATAATGTACACCTTGGGCATTGTTTAGTGCCGCAGGGATTAATGATTGTTTTAAAATGCAGATCATCATAAAAATTGTATCCTAATATTAGAGAAGCACTCTGAGTTAAATGGAGTAAGTGTCTCCTTTTTTTTTAACAGAGGAAACTTTAAAAACTGGCCGCCTTACAGGATTGGAACCTGGTGTGGCGACTGTCCAAATAACTGTGTGGGCGGCCTCTGCAGTAAGTCACTGGTACACTCTGTGGATTCACCACAAAAATTATAAAAATATTTACAGTTTCTTTTTAACAACAAGCTTACCTTCTCATTTTCATTCATCTCTCCTTTCAGACAACCCCTGTCCTTACATTAATGAGTTCTTAAACTGTCCTAGATTGGCAGCCCTGGATGGCTGCAATGATAAGTTTGTGGACGAACATTGTCCTGCTACGTGCAAATGCCAAAGTGAAATCATACCTATATATTAAACATATTCATGACTCCAGCCAATGGCAAAGTTTCTCTGAAAATGTTGTTTGGCTTGAAATAAAGGCTCATTTTTAAATATTAATTTCTAATCCTTACTTAATGGGAAACACCTGAGTTTGGAGGAATACACCCGTGTGTCGCAGCAGCATGGAGGGACACGTCTCCTTCTCAGCATCAGGAATCAGAGAAATGATAGTGGAAACAAGAAATACACTTATACTGCAAATGTTTCCACGCAGGAGATAATGCAAATCAACTATGTTAATCTGACATATTATCATACAATAAAGACAACATTAAAAAGCAAGCTGTGCAAGTTGTAAGTCTGTTATAGCTGATAATAACACAAGTTCAAATCATTTCTCTCTCTCTTTGTGTCATTCTGTGCTGAATTTAACATGAATGCAACAGTTCACACATCTAATAAGAGTTACTTAATATACAGGTGTAAAAATAATAAAGTTTTAATCTAGACATACAGAGGGTTCAGAGGAAATGTTATCTATTTACTTTCACCTCATGTAACACTGCAAAAGCTCATACAGTATTGTGGTTTGTGGTTGGATTATGATGGTTTTCTTCAATTTGGTCGAAGTCTCTGTCACTCAGATGGTGTCAGAGTAAGAAAAACACTAATTAAACTTTTTAGGCATTTTAGTGCCAACTGTTAATATGCTGATGAAGTGGTATCTATTAATTCTTGTGTAATAATGAAAATTTCAAAAATCTTAAACCCAAAATTTGGATTAAAAATCTCCAAAAATCTCTGAATATTGTTGACTTGATGTCAGCTTGCATGTGCAAAAAATGAGTTAAGATGAGGAATATGCTGTCATATTGGCATCATGACAACAACTCATAAAGATGCATTATTATGATAGAACTTGTAAAGATGCTAAAGGGTTCGCCTGTTTAGCCTTAAATACAATTGGTTGAACTCCTAACTGTCCCCTGACTAAGGTGTTTCAAACCTGAGGACTGGGATTCTCTCATAACACTCAGTCTGATGGGTTTCAAGAAAAGTTAGTAAGTTAGAGTGTGTATCTTCCTTCAACAGAGAAATTCTGTTGTTTTTAGTATACTGGTCTTTGTATCCATGGCATTTAATCTCATGTGTATCCAAAAGTAAACAGAAACAGAAATAAGTCTTTCACACACTGACTGAAGGGCAACAAAAGCTCAAGAGTTTAACCTACTTCTTTTTTTTTTTTTTTTTTTTAAATACTCATGGTTCAAAAAGCTTATAAATTTATAATTTGATAGTTAAATATGGCGTAAAAATAAGTTACAGTAGCAGTGTATGGTCTGGGAAATGCAAAGAAAAGACGAAGAAAATCTGAACTGTGAAGTGACCAAAAACCCAATAACCTCTTCAGACCAGCAGATGGCTCTGTTATACAACTCAGAGGACCTGCTGATGTATCTCACAGTCTAGTTAAAGGCTGTGATCTGAACTAGTGGCCTATGAATAAACTGCATTAAATCATGTAGAACAGTGCCATGCCTCATTACTCTCTCTCTCTCTCTCTCTCTTTCCTGTGCTGAGGGCTACAGTATCAGGCTATATGAACCACATACCATAGAGGAGAATTCTCCCATAATTTACGACTAATGATACAAAGTTCTTTTGAAACCCCATGAATTGATGGTTTGTGATGGTTTTGTTTGGTCACATTGGTAACAGAGTAGGTTAATTTTAGTAGGAGCCCTCTGTGTTATTATAAGAGGCTGTAATTTAGTAAACGGCATTACTTCATCATTGAGATCGTAGTTGCTGTGCTTTGTCCTCCCAAAAAGGAAGACATGACACACAATGTGATAGTATTAAAAAAAAGTTGTGTAAGCCCTTCTGGATGACCACAGTTGCCTTAAAATATAGAACTATATTGTTTGTTTTATGACTTAAAGCTCCTATAAGGAATTTTTCAGACAGTTATGAAATGGATTAAACTAACTATGGTGGCTCTTTATGACTTACAAAAGCAAACCAGATCATCAGAGACAAAAATTATGTTTCTTTATGATCACTTTAGACGTTTATAACCTTTGCGAGAGGGAAGTGATAATTCACGGCTGAAAACAGCTTTTTTTCTTCTACAGTGAGGTTACAGAGAGGGTAACACAATCAAAAGACAAAAAAGTGACACTTGATGTCAGATTAAAAAAAAAGAAAAAAGGGGCATGCACAGGACTAAATTGAGACATACGACTTTGTCTGCAGGTGGCGCCAGATAAAAATTTCCTTGTTGGAGCTTTAAGCTTCCAGTTACATACAGCACTAAGACAGGAAGAGCATTTTACCACTTTTAGTATGAACAGTATTTGCCGTTAAAGTATGGTGTTGTCTTTGATTTTTTTGTTCCATTTTACTTTTTTTGTATGTTTCTAGTTATGTTTATGTTGTTTAGATGCACTCCAGCTTTAAAATGAATGTTTTTCACCTGTGAACGACTTTCTTCCTGTCTCTTCTTCTTGTTTTTCAGAGTTATCTTGATGACTTTTGTGGTGTTGAGTTGTTACATCTTGTTGTGTGTTTCTATAATGTTTTTTCTTTTACTCCTGTGTTATTTTGCTTTTTAATGTTTGGTGTTTTGCTCTAACCCTTAACCTGAAAAACACAAGAAGACAGGGGCCGGACTCAAACCTCTTGACTGAGCTAGCCAAACTGACTTTTGCAGGGCTGCCACGCATGAACACATATCAGTTATTAACCCCGTCTGACCATGACTTCCTTCATTAGTGTCATAATCCTGCGTATATTTATAACTACATATAGAGACACACTAAAACAGCAACATAAAAGATCCTCTCTGTAAAAGACGAGAGACTTAAAACATTTGTCCTGTCACAAGCGATAGTCGAACCTTTTTTTCCCTCCGCCAACATGAGGATGGGGTATATGACCTGCACTGCAACAAGTCTCATGCTGACCATATAGGTATGTAATCCATTTTATATACAGTCTCTGGTTGTAACTCAGCCTCTGTAGCCGATTTTGAAACGAGTCCACTTCTGATAAGGCTAGATTTCCTATTGTGGTTGAGGATTTGGGGGTGGGTGACCAGATTTAATGTGGGGGGATGGCCACCAATAGTCAACCCCGGCCACACCACTGCAAAAATGCAAACAATCCTGAGTGACCAAACAGGAAAAACGAATTGGTGGTGCATTCTGAGCAGCTAAAATTCCTTTGAAAACTTCACAAGATTCAAACTTGTAAAATTTAACCCTGGCTCATGTAAATTTGATTTTGATTGATTTCAGATCCACCCTAACGGCCTCGCCTCCATCTATTTCACTGTTCATCTTTTGAGTAGAGTTCTGAGGTCGTCAAATCAACTTCTAGTGGAGGTGCCCAGGTCAAAACACAAGCGCTCATTCTATGCTACTTTGGTTTTAGATTTTAGCAGAAACCTCCAGTGTTTCCTTATCTTGAGTTTTAAAATGACGTTTCCTCAGTGTGCACACTCCTGTTTCCACATAATCAAGCCCTTTTTAAGTTTATGTGTTTTAATACCGTTTTTGATGCACTTAGATCGTGGGGTGGGAATGAGGGGTTGGGCTAGGGTAGATTTGGGTATTCTTTGTTTCTTTTTTTCCCTTTTTCTGTGTAAAGTACTTTGTGCTACATGGTTGTGCTGGTTAAAGACTGGTTGGTTGATTGGTTGATTGATTTAAAAGGAGTAAAAGGAGTAAAAACCTCTACGATGGGAATTAAGACAAAGACTAAGAACTATCACTAATAAAATGACATAAAAGAAACATTAAGAACTTTTTGGTTGCATGGTTCTTGTATTGTCCAGGTTCCTTATGACATGAAAATGGCCTTCAATTCAGTTTTAACTGAGCTTTTTGTTTTTATCTGTCTTTTCCATGTCCTCTATGACTACACGTCAAAAACTTCTGTTTTCTAAAAAGTGCTATATAAATAAAGTTATTATTATAATCATTATTAACTTTGATTAAAATGAACATTTGCAATAAGAGAAATATAAAAAGGTGATCAATGAAAAGCCTGATTAAAAAGGTGAGTCTTGAACCTCCTCTTAAAAACATCAATAGAAATAAACAATCAATCAATCAATCAATTTTATTTCTATAGCAGATTTAAAAGAACCACGGGGGTAGCCTAAGTGCTGTACATTAAGACATAAAAACAAATAAAACAAGCAAAGAACACGATAGAGCGAGCAAAAATACATAAACGCAATAAATAAATAGATGTATAAATAAGCCTTCAGCCTTGTATTGGGAACTGTCAGTAACAGCTGATCAGCTGATCTTAGGGGTGAGGGTGGGCAATAAGGCTGGAGCATCTCAGAAATATAAGGTGGAGCACGATTGTTCAGGCCTTTGAAAACAAATATTAAAAGCTTAAAATTGATTCTGTACTGTACAGAATGTACTGTAAAGAACATTTACATTTAAAGCAGTGTTTTCAACACACTAGTGTACCATGACAGATAGTCAGGAGAAATTATCCACGTTCACTTTATTGGTCTGAGTTTTTTTTTATTTTTTATTCCTTATCTGCAAATAACATGCGATTCTCTCGTGACTGTGCTGTAATCTACAGCTCCAGGTTTCACACTGGGTGAGTATGAATAAATTGAGAGACTATATCGTCATTGTATAAACTTTATTTGGGGCTACCGGGTATCATTTAGTAACGTTTTTAGTTGGTGGTGTGCCTTGTGATTTTTTCAATGAAAAAATGTACCATGGCTCAAAAAAGGTTGAAAAACACCGATTTAAAGAACTTTTACACATTAGTTACAACACGATATGCAGTAACTATCCTTCCTGGGGTCCTTATGTTATTATCAGTTTATTATTATCATTATTACATGCAGGTTAAATCAGATATTCATTGATATTCAAATCAGATATTTATTGAAATACTTTTTTGAATTGACAAAGTACAGGACTGTAGTATTTTTATATTGTCTTTTCTGAGTCGTTTTGTTTTGTTGTATATGGGACAGTGTATGGAAATGTGTATGTGTGCTGTCTTTGTGCATGTTTTTAAGTTACTGCAAATGAATTTCCTCACGGGGACAATAAATTCAACCTACCTACCTTCAACCTACCTACCTATTCTGTGGGAAAATGAAGTTTAAAAGAGTCTTTTAACGGGTGAGAAATAGTACAGTCGGGTTTGACTGACAGCACAGCCTGCACTACCAGCTGCGCGTTCACGCGACATACACAACTTTGTTCCATGGAAACGACTTGAGTGAGTGACGGTTAATCAACGAGCACTCCTGCGCGAGACAACTAACGGCAAATCTCAGTGTGGGGGTTACGACTAAACCGACAGATGAGCGGAAGGACCGATGACTGCTGACTGAGACGAGAGGACTGAGGGTGTTTTTTTTCCTCTTTGTTTGCTGAACCGGGTGGATATCAGGACCGGCGCTGAGTGGACTTTGTTTGAGTGGGCTGTGGAAACCAACTTCAGTCAGCTAGCTTCTGAGGGGAAGCTAACGTTAGCCTAACCGCCTAGCAGAGAGCTCGCCTCAGCTCAGCTCGGCACAGACACCAGGCGGTGGTCTGGCTGCTCAGCTGCAGCCACAACTTAAAGGGACGCCCGTCCGTCCGTCCTTCTCATGGAGAGACACCGGAGCAGCACTGAAGGCAAGTACAGAGAGATTCAGCGGGTTTTTATGCATGAGAGGATTTTTTTTATAGACGGTTAAATTGAACAGGTAACCCCGCATGCTTTTATTATGTTATTTAACTTAGTGTCTTTCGGGCTGAAGGGGGTTCTAGTGCTGTAAAATGCAACATAATGGGGTTTTTCTTGAATTGAAACAGTGCAAATGCATTTAAACGTTAAACTTAGTGAAAATGCAACAAAGCCCGCAGGTACAAGGAGGCGTTATATCATGCTGCATTCACGGCGATAGCCTTCACTGATTCTAAGTTAACATCCGCTCTCTCTGTGTGGAAACGTGAGCACTTCTCGCCTCACATTCATGCTCTCTTTGTGCGGCTGTGCAACGCGTATTACATGTTACTAGTAAGGTAACTGCAGTAATTAATGTCAGAATGCCTAATTATGCTAATCGCTGTGGTTTCTCTTCACAGAGCACAATGCACGGAGCGAGCCCCCCTGCCTGTAGGAACCTGACAGATATGTGCACCGAGAGATGATATGGCAGAATTGCGTGTTACAACGAGGCAATAGGCCAGGCAGGAAATTGGAGTAAAGCTGAAACATAAGGCTTTGCAACCCAGCAGCTTGTGTGAGTGTGACCGTGTGTGTGTGAGTGTGTGTGTGTGCTGTAAGTGCCTATGGCGGAGTTTGGGGAGAACGGCAGCCTGCCTCCATTGAATCTTGGGGAAACGGCCGTGCCCAGCGACGAGGCAGCTGGGAAGACGCATTGCGAAGTGTCGGTCCTGAATGGAGACTGTGGGATATCAGATAATATGGTCGGCTCGGGATCCCTGGTTGCACCTGGCAGCCAAGTCGGGGTTGAAACTGCCAACACCTCTGTGGGAGTTGACGGCAAATCTGAGATACCACGCAGAAGCAGCATTATCAAGGTATGCGCTCAAGTCAGAGTCTCTGTCAGTCCATTTATTGTGCTTAGCTAGTCTGCACATCCACGCTGCACATGGGGTTTGGGGAGTTACACACAAAACCCTTATTGGTGTCTTTTTACTAACCACACATTTCCATTGAGAAGATACTTCTCTAGGCTTATGATGGGATCACAGAAATGCAGCCTGTTCTTAGTTTGGTAACACTTTAACTTGACGCCTCTCTCTATAACGCATTATAAATATATGTATAATGCATTATAATCATGTTATGTCACTGTATAACAATAGTTATAAACACTCAGAAATGATCATGATGCTTTATAGCAGTAATCATAACACATTATAAAGCATTTTATCATGACTTACAAGGTCAGGTATTAAAATGTGTTATAACTGTTAACAACAGTTGCATTGCATTATCTATGTGGCCATTGTCAGTGAGTTGTTAACAGTGATAACACATTATAATACCTGACCTTGTAAGTCATGATAAAATGCGTTATGATGTGTTATGATTACTGCTATAAAGCATCATGATCATTTATGAGTGTTCATAACTATAGTTATACAGTGCTATAATGTAATAATATAACGTATTATAAATCTATTAATAATGCATTATAGAGGTAGGCGTCAAATAAAGTGTTACCCTTAGTTTTTATAAAGAATCATTGCAAAAAAAAGCCTCTCTTGAATGTCAGTATTGAAGTTAAAGCTGTAGATGTGAGCTTCTTAGAGGGGATAAGGTGATACACGTTGCTTCTCTTGGTACATTCTGTGAAAAAGTTATCATAGGCACAACTCTATTACACTTAAAGATGAATAAATTATGCTGATTTCCTTAACAGGGGCAAAACCATTGTGCGCACAACAGCTTTCTCACATTCAAAAGCCTAAAGGTAAATAAAATGGGAAAGGAATAAAAGGATGACCTGCCCGCTGAAAAGCTAGTGTGCCGGCTTTCATTAATGTTCGCGTGATAGCCTGATGTCAGATAGCACCGACAAATCTTTACACTCTATTTCTGGCCTGGGTCAGCAAAATAGAGTTGGTGAATTTATTGGACCGCAATGAGGCCACGAGGGCAAAGAAGTTTAGATGTTTTTGTATCTGTAAATCAATTTAGTACACGCCTGTGGTATGAGGAGAACTATATAATGAGTCTGTGTGACCACTAACATGCGATATTTCGTGACAGGAATGAACTTTTTTCAGGCTAAGGTTGAAGTCAACTCTAAATGTTACTAGTTCAGTAGGACACCTTTGATTTCTCAGTGCTGTAAAAGAAACAAGTTATCATTGTGAATAATGCTTTGGCAAATGAGCTGGTTTGGTATTCGAGTTTTGTATTCTGAAGCTCTGCACTTTAGGTTCCTCATCTCATGGATGGGGACGTTGGGAGTATTGCTCAAAGACTATCAAAGATGATGACACTTCCTTCCGTTGCTCCAGTCTACTGTATGTTGAAACCTTCAGAGAGTTTGTCTGCAGCTCAAGTCAGCAGCTCTTATGCAAGTCTCCCTCTTGCTGCTGTATCTGTCATGATGTCAGCCACAAGGAGAGATTAAACAGGGTGAATAAAAGCTGCTTGGCATTACTGAACAATGCATTTATTGTCTGAGACGTTATCACATTATCCTCCTCATTAAAAGAACTCCACGTCTGCATCGCTTTTTTTTTTTTTGATGATGTTTACATTTGTGTTTTAGAGGTCACTAAATTAGTAGTCAGTTTCATTCTCTCTTGGCCCAGCGAGATTTAAAATGCATGAGCTGGTATAAGGAGTGTGTGGAGTAGCACTTTTCAAATGGCAGTGTCTGATGTGTTTGAGTGCATTTGGTGGCTTAAACTTTTATTACCATGCGCACAATCCATCCCATTATAAAGTCTATGATTTGATGCTTGAAGCGAGGTGTCTTTGCTCAGGGTACGCTCTCTGGCAGCAGTCAGGGTTCAGCGCTGTATCTTTCTGCCCGTAGGTGTTAGAGGCAACAAATTCTTGGCACATTGTTGTTGGTGAACTTTGATGTGCCCTCTGCCGGAAGATTGATGGGGGTAATATTGACATTTCTCCCTTGTAAAGTTCCAAGTAATCTCTCACTACACAAGAAACTGTCTCACTTCTCCGGCTATTAAAGTGCAATCTATTTTAGTATCCAACTCAAGATGTCCAATCCTGCAAGTTATCGGGTCTGGAAGAGGAAGTGGAGGCTGATTTAAATTGAAAAAGTCAATTTCTGACTTATTTCTGGAAATATTTTGGATTCAAGACAAAAAGTACATTTAAAGATGAGGCAGGCTTCTTTATATAACATGTTCCTGTCAAGATGAACGCCACTGTCAATTTAGTGAACTGGACCGGAGGTTTCTACATGATGGTCCAGCGCCTGCGTATCCATGCCAACAAGAAATCATTCTGAAATACTCAATGACCTGAATTCAATTAAGTGCTATATCAGACTGCACAATGAAAAGCTTCATGACAAAGCATTAGGAAGAAATAAAATACACAACAGGTCAGTCCAAAATGACTTTGTGGCTTTTGCTAAGCAACAGGGCATGCACATCCGGTGAGTCACCGCAGAAATGTTGACTTCTGATAAGTCAAAGCCAAGTTAGCGTTGGAAAAACATGGACTGTTACCAAGATTTGGTTTATGCAGGAAATGGAAGTTGTTAATCAGGATAGACTAAAGAAACGTCGGCACTATAATCAAAAATGAAAGCTGCTCATACCAGAACACTCTTATTCCCTGAGAATCGTTTTTAATTCATGGTTCAACCTTCTTGAGTAGTTTGGGCAAAGAAAGAAAGGTATTATGTCACCATCCTTTCTCATCTGGTTCTGCAAAGGCAAACTCCATTTTCATATCTGAAGCAAATCAAGCATTCAGCGAGCCGTGACCTTGTCTGCATGCTCGAATTTTCTCGAAGGCCTTTGTTTTTGTTTTTGACAGCTATGAAAGATCGAATATTGCCCTGATACGGTGGTGGTGCAGGGTTGGACAAGTGTTAACAAGGCAGCCGGTTTCACACTGTCAGTCAGAAGCCTCAGTTCTCGTTAAACTACTTCTCTGAAGTGATGGGAGGATGTGGTCAGGACAACACTAACCACATTCTCATAGTAACAGCTGTAATACTTAGTGCTTAACAACGACCTTCTCTAAAGGTTTCTCTCTGAACGTATTTGGCGGTGTGGGTGTGTATGCATGCACGCACACATGCTTATGTGGCACATCTAAACCGTTAGGTTGGGACCTCTCTTTCTATAAATGCAAGTGTAGAGTATCAAAGCTTGCAGACCTCAATTGACATTAAAACCCGTTGCAGATCTTTCAATTGGTTGTTTCCTGAATTTTAAACTGAAAAAAAGTACTCCTCTCATAATCGGCACTCATCTTCCCACTCATCTCTCCAAAGATGGCTAGTTTTCAAATACCAATATATCCACGTAAGCTGCTGCAAACCCTCTCCATCTATTTGTATGCTCAGAGCATTTCAGAGTTCTGTTTTTAAAACAGAAATTGCCAAATCTGCTGCCTCACAATCACCCAATATGAAACTCAGATGCTGTTTTTCTTTGGCAAAGATTTTGTGGACGTGCCTGACATTAGTAAACAGTATAATGCTACAGCAGTGCTAACAGAATTATTCATGGATGTTTTCTTTCGTTGGAAACCATCATTGACCACAACCTTTGACCTCTGATGAAAGAGGAAACTACCAAACTCTAACAGATGTTTTTTCAAGCTTTTACGGGATAAAAGAAAACAGAGATGTTTGTTTGTAAGCTTTTAAGCTAACATCCTTTTATCAGATAAAAATGGTAAAATGCTAGAGTGGACTCGTGTGAGGTTTAGACCGGCTGTATTGTGGTATCTATATTTGACTCGACCTCATGAGCTATGAAAGTCTGTCAAAGTACAGTATCACTTTCATTACATTTGCACATCACTGTTATTGTTTGGACCAATCAGGAGTGAGTGTTTAACTCTGCTGGGCGACCAGTGAGAACTCCAGGAATTACAATTTGGACGACAACTTTTCATAGACATTAAACAAGGTTGTTAAACAGTGTGGATTAGAAAGTGACAATGTGTTTTCAAAGCACTGGTGCATAACTCGACTAATGGCCGCGGTGTTTACAAATCCATTTGGAACTCTGTCCTCACGAGTAAATTATAGCCATGTTGCATGTGGGTGGCCAGTGGCAGCAGAAATAATGAGCCTGTGGCCACATTGTTTTCCCACCTTACATCTCACCTCAGGTCCTCTTAAAGAAAGACAGTCTTTTCCCGTGCTTTGTTAAAAACACTAATTTCACAGTTTTGGTTCGAGGAGAAAACAACCTCAGTGTGTCAACCTGCTGAAAGGGAAAACAATATGGTATTAGTTCTGGTAGAGCAGAAGGACTGCGAGACTGTGACAGCTTTTTACACGAGAATCTTCATTTTCTCTTACAACATTTAGTCCGGCTCAGTGGAAATTCATTCAAAGTTACGCAGGTCAGCTTAAGTGCCTTTTATAGGTTACCATTTCTGAAAAAACAACACATCTAATCTGAACCATGGCAGCAAGAAAAACGCAAATCACTGGTTGCTCCTGATGTCCTTTTGAATTCATGTATTCACCGGATTACAGAGGCAAGCAGAGAGGATGGACTGAAATTCATTACCGTGTGTTTTTGAAGGTGTGTGTTGTATTGTGTCGGCAGTTTTGATGTGAAGTCTTAGAAATATCATCAACCTTCCCTCCGCACATGCCTGCTGTTCCTTTTCAACTCTTTCTTTGTGTGCCGAGGAGTCTTTCATCTCTTTGTTGCAAAGTTTCTGCCACACTCGGCTGCAAGTTTGACAGAAATGGTTTTAAAGAAACTTTCCTTCAGCTCTTACACTTCGCAGCACTACGTCTTAGATGTACTCTGATCGCTGTAAATGGTATAAATATATACTGTATGTATATTTAAGTGTTTTTAGAGTGCTTTAGCCGTTGAAATGCTTAAATGGATGTCTACTGTATATCAGGTACTTTGTAATATTAATGATAATGCAGCCATCAGTTCTCACTATGATTTTAAATAACTCCAAAACCCTGACGTGCTGAATGTCTACTGTTGAAAAGACTTGAGCACAGTGGTCCATTCGAGCACCTTCACTTGAATTGGTAAACGCACTCATTACCTATCCTCTTTGTACGACCATCTGAGGATTAAAGCAGGGGAAATGAATCAGGGGAGTGAAGTGTGAAGCAGAATCTCTTCTGAACTGATTGTTGAAGAGGCCTTGAGCAAGAAAACCGAACTCTAACTCATTCACATCGAGCATCTGTGTTTCTACAAAGTCCTCAGAGTGAAAAAAAAGAACTGTACGGCGCACTGTTTTTACTCCAGTTTGGGTTGCACGGAGTTATCACTGCGCTGGTGCAAATGCTGTTGATAGTGTCTAGCGTTGCATATTTAATTATTCATACTGTCACTCCAGAAGGTGCGACTAAAGCAGCTCATCTGACTTCTCTGCCATTATTCAGGCCAAAGCTGCTCTCCACTGTTTCTTTAAACCCACATGTATCTCTTTTGTCTCCTGAGAGGCATTTCCTGGATGTCTGAGCTGTGCAGCTCGCATGATTTAGTGTAATCCAGTTACCCGAACCAGCGCCCCCGGCTGTTGAAGGGGTAATTAATTACGGATCTTTTGACGTCTATTCTTGATGTAGGGTCTTTTCGCCATCTCACTTTCACTTATCATGCCTTCACGTGTCCGAGGCGCTCATTCATCTCAGGTGTCTCTGATTTGCACAAGTGGCGCTCGCCTCGCCCTGTTATTTCAAGGGTAACTCAAATGGCTTGGCAGCAATAACAGTTCTGCCACATTAGTGGGAGTAGTGTTTCTACGCTTGAAGGATGGCTCGGATTAATATTTCATCACAACAAGCATTGAAGCGAAGGAACGAGAATACATATTTTAACATTTAGTTTTAACATCTGCAATTTCATTTCTACACTGTTCTCATGTAAAGGCAATACTCCCAATCAAGGCTGTGAGTCTGTCACAGTGTGTGTTTATTAGGAGTACAGCTCTTGTAAGAAATTAACTCATATCTTGTGATATTGGATCAAGAGAACTAAGTACTCGCTCTTGGCTCTGAGTGCTGACCTTGGCATTTCTTAGTTTGACTTCGATTAGATGCTATTGAACATAATTTGGACTTGATATTTTCTTCAATAGTTGTTCGAAGACTGCTGATCAGAAAATTGTGATTAACAGTGCTTAATTACTTTTCCTCAACCTAATAATTCAACGATTACTTCCAGATAAATAATAAAGCAGTCATTAGTTACAGCCCAAGAAGGTAAAGTTTAGCCGATTTCACTGGTCCCTAAATCAATATAGTTTGCTTCATTACAGATTAAAGCACTAATTGGTAACCTGCGTGAATTAATATCTGATTTAACTGTAATCTAAGAAGCATTAGAGCTTTCAGCTCATATGAGAAAAGTTAAGGTGAGGTTTATGGGACCAAAACTAAACAGGCTGGAAAGTTTTTAAAGTTTTTAGGCTCTCCACCTGCTGGATGAAAAAAGAAAAACTGTTCTAAATAAAAAAACCCTCACCATAAAACTTTACTGCTGCTTCTAGCAAATTTAATTTAGTTTAAAGGTAAGAAATACTCGGAGAAACAGTCAAAATTGTTTGACTCAACTGGCTGAACAGGAGATCGCAGAGTAAACAAGTCTAAATTGGTTTTTCAAAGTGCGGCTAACATTAGTAAAACTAGCATCACTAGCCTTCAGACCTCCTGGTTATTTCGTACTCTGGCGAGCTAGTTTAACCCGACACAGCCTGCATACAGCTTCATCTCCATTTTCTAGATCAGATACTGCTATACTGTGATGCACTGACAGCTCCAGCTTTGACACATACATGAGAGCAGCATCAGGTGCGCACAATAAAACAGTGTTTATAATTTACTTAACCGGCTAGTAATTCTTTTATTGACATAAATTGTTTATTCAACTAAGCAAGCACATCCTCACTCTGCCCATGTAAATATTTTGAAGTGCCTGAATGTGACTGTTCAAGTCACCCTACCCACTCTAGAGTTCCACGCTTATTAGAGCTTCAACTTGAGCAGCTTCTCGGGGTAACGGTTTCCTGTACACTCTAAATATTTGAAAACTTGTCCCAACTATTCATGTAACTGTCAACCATGAGAAAATATTGCTGTTTATATCCTCTCTAAAACTGTTTACTTTAGTCTCTACTGGTTGTAATTTAATCCTGAAACTTGTCTTGTTGACTTTACAGACTCGAAAGCTTTGTTCGATGAAATCACAAACTGAACTGCCAAGGTCTGGTTTACATAACACTGTCATTTTGTGGGAATTTTGATCCAGAGAGTGGGCCATACAATCATGACTGACATGTTGACACACTTTTATTAGCTCGTGTTTATATACTCGGGTTATTGCCGTGTTGATGTCCCAGAGGAAACAGTCTGATGAGTGAAATTAAATTGACCAGTCGGTTGTTATTCCAAGTGCCTCAACATTGTCTTCCATTGCTGCTCAACATTAAAAGGCTCCGAGGATGAATCAGCTGAGCTGTTTTGCAATAATAACAATGTTGGCAGCGGAAAGTCTTATGAAATTGGCAGCTGATATCTTCATTGTACTTACAGAGCAAGGCAGAGTGTTTGAAGCCTGACAGTGCTCTGAAACTGTCTCATCACAGAGGCCTTATCAGATGCTGAGCTGAGCTGATGCCGCTCACTCTGTCTTCACTTAAGTCTGAACTGTGACATGACAGTTTTGCTTGATCATTCTCTGATTGAGGTCTGATCAGAATGGGAATAACATCATTTTTAGCTTTTGCAGAGTTGACCCGACTCGAATGATGTGCAGGGCCTTTGAAGTTTGACCTGATTTAACGATTCAGCGGTGCTTCAAAACTTCTACATCCCTCTTCCCATCAATAAATGGATTAGCGGGCCTTAGTGATGTTTGTTTAGGCTTAATTTAATGGAGATCTAGATCCTCAGTTTGAATGTGCTCTTATCGTTAGACAGCGTACAATGTAAGTGTGCTACAATTTATCTAAAACACAAGAAGTGGTGGTATCAGGCTAAAATATGTATCTCACACATTTATATACTTCCTTATTTTACTTTTGGACAAGTCACAGACAGATATGAGGCAAATGCTCCTTCTATTGCCAATCTGTAAAATTCAGTTAGGAAGTTAGGAAGCGTTTCGCTCTGTCTTTGCCTCCACTATCTTTGAGTAGCACAGCATTAGTGTAATCTGACACCGAGAGAAACAGGCTCGGCTGCCCTGTGAAGTGACACTGTTTACGCTGCTTTTCTAAAAAAAACTGGAAAGTCAAAGGAAAACTTTTTAATTTAGTAAGCAGTTTAAAGCTCCTGAGAAGAAGTTTTGGTGTGGAGCTGTGGTGCCCCCTGTGGACAAAATAATATTCTTAGAGTCTCTTCTGGGGAAAAAAAAATTTCTTATCCACCTGACTTTTGACAACCAAACATATCATTTACTGTGAATGTACAATGTGAAACTGTAAAAACAGGGCTGTTCCTAAAATCGTCAATCTTGTTGCTGTTGGTTTTATTTGCTTTTGTCTCAAAATAAGACATGACTATGAAATTCGGTTTATTTTATAAATGTCAAAAACTCCTCACAGGAGATTTAAAATGCATTAGATTGACTGGATGTGGTAGAAATACTGAGGGAGCACTTGGTCTGTGCATTATGAAACATCAACATTGATTGGTGAATGAGTATAGAACAGTAATGGACGACAGAAGAATGTGCGGATAGTAAGATCTGTCTGTAATTGCTGATCATGGACATGTTTTGATCCGTCATGATCTGATACCGTCCTGTTGCACTTCCTTAACTCAGGCCAGCTTCATCAGAATTGATGACTAAGAGTTTTACCTGTATGACTTTGCTGCTTATCTGGAGTTTTTGTTTTGATAGAGTGAGAACTGCCTAAACACGGTAGTTTCACACTAACAAACTTCAGTATTTGGATTGTTTTTGATGACAGGATTCAGAAGAGGAATTAGAAAAGGTCTAAAATCCAGGTTGAACCACCTAAATCTTACCCCTTCTTATCATTAAAGCTAAAAGTACAGCAATTTGGCAGACTTGTTCAGAAACATCAATAATATGAGATTTGACACAAAATACTACCTTACCTCTGAGATCAGATCTGCAGATATAAACATACTATCAGGACAAAATTCAATGACAAGAAAAGAGAGAGATAGATTTCACTGTGAGGACACTTTAACTCTTTTACTGTCTTATCCTGAAGAAACGAACATGTCCTTTTTTTGGTAAATGGAAATTAAGTGTGACAGCACACACTGTATTTATCTCTAATATCACACTGACTCTGTATCCTCAGTGCTGGAGGGTGGCCAACCACCCTAAGATGGTGATGTGGAAGATGATCCGTTATAAAGGTGGTTGAATAATTTGCAGGCAGAGATGTTTGTCGTCCTTCAGACTCAGCATTATAAGCCGTCTCAGACATCTTTTCAAGGTGGTGTTTGTTGTGTTGGGTTACATGGCTATGGTTGAATGTAGCCTGAAGACAAACTATTGGAATACAAGAGTTGGGAGAGAATGTCTTACTTATCTGTTTGTTGCTTTAACCTGCAGGCAGGAGATTATCGATGGTTTTCAAAGACACCAGTGACATCCCAGCATCCTCATTTTGCTACTGAAAGTACAGTACAGTGTAATATTTTGTCTTTTTTCTTCTTTATCAAAAGTTAAAATCAGGTAAGAAAGAAGTACAAACTTAGTGAAGTTAAGAAACAACCAGTTATTTCTCTGTAAGATGAACCTTCCTTCCCTCAACTAATGTATAAAATTTGGCTTTATGGTGTAAAGAAACCTCAGCCAAGCAAACACTGCACTCAGTAACTTAATAAAGCCCCAACACTGAGCAGAGGCACTTATTAGCATTAGTGAATGAACAAATGAATTTGTTGTGGTAACTGTGGTTAATGGCTCAGTCGATATTTGAGCGCGTTAGACTCTCTCCATCCCATCGCCTCAAACCAAAGCACTGAGAAGTGATGATGTAAATTTTGGATCAGCTCCACTGGGAACATTTTGGAGGAAAAGGTGGTGAATAATTATCCGAGGACACCTCAGGCCATTTTCTGGAGAAGGAAACGGCCACAAGAATTATGAATTTATTTAAAAAATTCAGAGGAAAGGTTTTATGGTTTCTGTAAATCTTTTTAGGTTTTGTGAAAGTATATCTGGACTTTTTCCAAACCAACACATTTGAATAATTGGAAGTCTTTCCAAACTGCTCACGGCAATGTTGTTGCACTGTCTGACCACTTTTGCATACTCGCCCACCACTGTTAGGCAATAGATGGTTTGGTACAACAGTTCATCCCCAAAAGGCGGCTTTCTGGTCTGACATGTTTGATTTATGAGGAAGATGCTTGTAAACACATGCAACACATACATATAATAAAGACAGAGAAAAAGAAAATAGAGAAGGGTGGATCTTGATCTGAAAAGCTCATGGGGAACTAAAGTTAGCGATAACTTTCTGTCAAAACCAGAACGTTCCATAAATAGATGTTTAACTGTCACCCAGATCTCTTGAGGAAATGCTAGACCTTTAAAAGTTGACTCCCAGAGTAGTAAACCTCTTCACACTTGATTTGACTGATGACTCATATCATGTGGTACAGAGAAGACACAGCTGCGCTTTTAACAAATTTAACTCTGGTGGGATTTCACATCAGAGCAGCTGGAGAAGCAAAAGTCTGCACAGTTAGTCTAACAAGCCATGTCCTGAAATAACACAATAACGGCTTTTAAATATTCAGTCATCTATTCCTGACACGGTGTGGTGTTAACACCCCCGCTGAATGTAAGATCTTATAGTTTGGTCTCGATTACGGTAACTTTGGTTTTAAGTGTGGTTACATACATGTTCCTCTATAAGCATTAATAGCTCTATCACTTTGAAACGGATCTTTATGGTTGTGTAAATGACTGCTGTTACCATGGCTGCAGAGTTTCTATATGTTTTCATAACAGATCATGACTTTCTTCTTTTTTTATCTGACAACATGCTCTTCAAAACTTCCTTTATTTCCTCTATTCGACTTTACCGTCAGCAGGAGGGTTTCCTTGTGACTCATTTTTTTCTATCAAAGCTCTTTGTGTCACACTTACACCAGGTCCAAAAGAGTAGATTTGTTTTCATCTCTGCCTGATGAATTCACTCAGGTGGGGCCAACCTACTTGTGTTATTTGTTGATACAACTTGGGGAAAGATAATGAGTGCTTAGTGTGATGTAACAGAGCTACTCTTTAATTAATATGCAGCAGAGGCAGTCATCATGGAAAATTGAAACTGTGAGGAGAATCAGGGAATTTTAATTTTACACACTAAATGAGACTCTTACACACTGCAACTCTGTTTTCTAATCACCTTAAGGTGTAGCAGGAGCACCGGAGGCATGGCTCAGGGGGGGCGCCACATACACACACTTACTCAGACCAGGACTCCACTTTGAGACTTGGACTTAGACATGAGATATGGGAGGACCCTTTTATTTTGTATAACTTGATAATATGGCAATACCACAGAATTGGTACTATTTCCTCTTTTGCACTATCAGCCACCCTACAGATGACACTATTGTGAACAAATCCCCTGCAGCTGCAATAGCACAGTGTTTCCCGTACATAGACAACACCCGGGCAGGCCACTCAAGTAAACACGCACCAGTTTTCAACATCATCTACAAGCCGTATCCGCCCAACAGTCACTTTTTTTTTTAATATCCGATCATCAAATGGCCAAATTCAAAATGTATGCTGTCTTATCTAGGGGTGTAGAATGTGCCGGTCCTGCTCATGACTAGTATCAAAACATCAGACATACACGCGCACAAATAAACTGTTGCAAGCTAGTAGGACACTCTCTCTTTAAGGAAGAGGTGCAGGTGATCATCACCATCTCAGACACACAGAGTGCTGTTCCGCCCTGCCAGCTCTGACACCTCATATCGCCGCAGTTCCTCCACCAATACGCCCCTCTGAGGGAGGATTACAGGCTGAACAACTTTGCCCCAGCAGACGAGGAGTACCAGGGGTGTAAATGTCCAGCTGAAATGGCTCTATGTAGGTGCCAGCAGTCTCATCCATAGACAATGTTGGATTTAGGCAACATATTCCTAAAGAAAGGGTATTTCTGTTTGCAGCGAGTCATTTGATTTGGTGAAAGTTGGATATTACAAGTTTTGTGAAAAAGTTTTTTTAAAGCATAACTCTCTAAAACTCTCTTAGGATAGCTGGTGATTCTTAAGTCTTTTTATTATTCAGTCTTGGGTTGCACTTCCAATCTTAAAAAGGGCAGGTACACAGTTAGATTTGTGGGATATTTATGAGCTTCTTAAGTAACCATGCTGCTGTCTTTGTTGCCTGATAGGCAGTGGTGAGGACCTTAATGTGGTCCTAAAACTCAACCAGCAAGAGCTAGAGACCATCCTGCACAAGTATTAATGACGTATACGGAGAGGTCAATGACCTTTTTCCTCTGTGTGTATGTAGATATTATATCCTGAATATGATCAAAACCAGGATAATGCTCATAATTGGGATACTCCAGGCCATGAATACACACTCAGGATGCTCAAACTGAATCAGCTGTTTATCAGAATTGATTTTGAATTTGAGCCTCAGAAGATGATGAGTTCATAGACATCAGGTGTGCCTCTAACTGCACAGGGCCACATTTTTAAAACACTGTCTGCTAACAGACATATGTTATCTGAGGAAATGAAGCTCATTAGATGGACAAATGTCATCTTGAGCTGACGCCAGTGTTGGTCCAGAGCTGAACTTTGATTTGTACTGCAGCAACATCCAGGTGATTCAGTATGTTTAGGTGGAACAGTGGAGCAGAGAGCGGTGGGTCCCCTGTTCTGTCCTCTGCTGTTGTACACACAGTTCATAACTGCTCACTGAGCCAGAAAGAAATGCAGGATTCAGAGCGTTAGGGGATTGGGATTCCTATGGGATCTGTGAGCGGTTGAATGTACAGTCTTCTACACCGGCTTTCTCGTTGTCTCGTCTTCTGTTTGCCTCCATCTGACTCACTCTCTGTGTCTCACTCACTCAGTCAACACACACTCTCAGAAACCAAACACATATTGAAACTGTATGTAAAGGCAAAAAAAGTAATTTCCCCTGTTGGAGTGAGCCTAATGGGATTAGGCTTGTTATTATTCCTTTACTGTGAAATACGATGAAAACATCCAATATCCTGTTTATTTTCTGGATTTCTCTTGTTTTTATTTCTTTGGAAGGGGGTGTGTTTTTCTCTGAAGAGGACTAAGAGGGAAAATGAAAGTCAGTAAAAGATAATAAGCATCCTTTTGCAACGTTTTTAGAGATTTTGAAAGAGCCATGTGTTGTTGGTTTTGGTCTCTTGCCTCGTCTTCGCTGACAGTTGTGATTAATTCAAAATGGTGGACGAACATCAAGTATGTGAAACTGGTTAAAGTTGTTGGTCAATACCGGTGACTCAGCGTGCACTGTACTTTCCATCTTAACATCTATGAAAACACCCTGCCCCAAACAATATTAATAGACTCTCTGTCAAATGAGTGACTCAGAGACCACAAGATAGAAATAAGAAAAATAAGTTAAAAACAGAAGGTTTCGTTTTTAGACGGAGACTGTGTTATTGATATTTCTCGAACATTTCAGGTGTTTCCTTTTTAGAGCTTGTTCTGGTTCCACGTTTCAGCAGGGCCGAACAAAAAAAGGAGAAATTCAATCATAGTTCACTTTGAGGACAGAGCGATTATCAAAGATGATAGGTAATATTTATGTTTGGAAGAATATCTGATCAAACTATAAAAAGGCAATCTGATGGTGGTCTTCCTCAGCACCATTTAAGGACCATTACAGCTATTCTTATTGCAAAGGCAACACCCTGAGCCCTCTGACTTCCATCAAAGGCAGAAAGGGAACTGTTGCATAAGAAACGGTCTCCTCAGGAAACAATAACAATGTTAAGACAGAGATGGGCGTGAGCCGTATTGTTTTCTACTTTTGCTGAGGGGCGCAGGAGGAAATCCTGCAGAATGCCCGGCATGGCGGCACGGGCTTTTCGGCAGGACGCACACTAAGATGTGTCTGCGACTCAAGGTTAACATGAAGTCAACATTCCTGCTCAGATCATAAGGATTATCTGCACTCATGCGTTATGGTCGTAAGCTCCCATTTTATATAACTGGGTGAAAGAACATGATTAGGATGTTTATATTTTAAATACTTGGTTAATGTGCCAGCTTTAGAGTTTTGCAAGTAGAAGAGGTTTCTAATAATAAATTATATCAAAAATATATTTCGTCTCCTGTTATTACACGCTTCTGTGGATCTGTTTATTATTCCACCTGATTGTGTTTGAGTTGTGATCCTTACCGGGCACATTGTTTAAACCTCCCTGGCTTCTGTCCTCTGTATCTTTCATGGTAGATGACATGAAATAATAAAACCAAATGGATGTCTTTAGTAAGTAAACAAACAAACAGTCGAACTGAGACTCTTGCTCTCCGCGGCAGGGTGCTGTGTGAGTCAGAATTCATTTCCTGCTCCATCTCGTCCAATTGTAAACTGGCACGTATACATGATGTAGCTTCTCTAATCCCTGTGCGTCTCTAACAGAAAGCGTGGAGGAGACGTGGTTGTGCGCTGAGATCGTTTGGAAAACACTAACAGAACAGACACTTTACAAAAGAGCGAATTTATGACGAGACTGTTCCAGAAAATTCCCAAAAAAGGTGATTCTCTGAAAACCGCGGCACACGTTGTCCACATTGTCAAATTAGTAAATGTCTGCAGAACGGGCCAAGTAAAGGAGGAAGATGTTAAAGTAAGATGGAGGGTGTGCAGAAGATCCTGAGCATAAATAGAGGCTTTGATCCAGACTGGTGTAAGTCATGCACACCAATCCTTTTACTGCACAAAGTTGTTGCTTTTCCGGCCTTTGCCTGTCACAGTGGGTTTATTAAGAGTAGTGGTTCTTTGAATATGTGGGCTGTGCACATCTCTGTCTGACTATGCAAGAAGCTGTGAAGACGATTTTGAGATCTTTATTAAACCCCACAGGAAAATCAGGATCAAGGGTTTGTACTGGAATGCAGCCCGAAGAATTCTGAACCTGGCAGCATCGCATACTTGACAAAATGATTCATTTTTTTGTACAGAGTGGTACTATTAAGCTGCCACATGATGACTAACAAGGCATTGGGTTTGGCTGGCGTTAAATTTGTGAAATAAGTCTGTATAATCCAAAATATAAAATGATGCTCCCGCTGCTTTAAAGGAAGTCTCTGCAGCAGAAAAGCAGGGTTCATTGTAAATGTCAGGAATGTGTGGCTGCTGTAGATGTCTGGAGTTGTGTGGGCGATACTCTCCTGGGGGAGATTTCCTCTTGTATGTCCTGATATACAGTGACAGGTACCTTAAGTCACCCAAGAGAGATGCTGCTGCGATTCTGCTGAGCAAATGTTTGGAGGCAAGAAAGAGGAGCCGGCGTGGAAGGGCAGGGCCTGACATGCAAACATCCGAGCAGACAGCATGTTGTCTTCAGTTGTATTGTCTGTCGAGACGATGTTCAGCTATATTAAGTTTTGATATTTAATACTGAATCTGTGCATTAAAGATACCATCATCCTTAAATTATTTACTGAAAGCCGTTTTGTTTAGGAGGCAAGAGAGGGAATGCCTAGATTATATTCTCTATTTAAACTGCACGAAGAACGCCATTATATCATACATATAACAATTTAATAAACATAGTTGTAATAATAGTAATAATCATACTAATACGTTTCATTTATAGGCCCATTTTAAAGCACTTAAAGTCGCCTCAAAAGAGAAAGCTAAAATAAGATAAAAACAATGAATGAAGCAGTGTAGATTGACTCAAAGAAACAAAACTACTCCTAAACCACACACTGGTAGGAAGTAATGTTATATATATATATATATATATATATATATATATATATTTTTTTTTTTTTTCTCTCATTCAAAGTTTCATTCCTTGTGGAAGAAGTTTTAGGCTTTTTTCAATTGATTATAGAATTTTTTGAACAATCAAAAGTACACTTTTAAAAGTTAAAGTCCTGCACACACTGATCAGCTTTTAACAATACATGGAGTTAAAGTTTAAAACAAATCGTTCACATTGAAATTTTCTGGGTTAAGAACATGTTGATGACTACCATTATTATAACCTCTGTGCAACCTTCTAACCATATTTTCTTTCCTTGTCATAACATAATTGTTTTAGCTGTGAAATGCACACACAAACTAAACTATTTTTTTCATCTTTTCTCTTTCTAAAGCTTAAAATTGCAAACTTGTGGATAGAAAACATACAGCAGGAGAGATATTTTGTATCACTCCATAAATGGAAAATAAAATTACAGGGCTTGAGTTTTTTTTAGCCCATTCATCACTGTGGTTGTTATACTTCATAAATGTCATGGCTTTATTTATCATTCACTTCCTGCAACAGGATTCTTAATAAAGCACTTTGTTTGTTTTGTTTTTTACAGGATGGCTCCAGACAACGTAAAGAAAGAAAGAAGACAGTATCCTTCAGCAGCATGCCCACTGAGAAGAAAATCAGCAGTGCAAGCGACTGCATCAGTGCGATGGTAGATGGCTCTGAGCTGAAGAAAGTGCGATCCAATTCACGGGTTTACCACCGCTACTTTCTCCTGGATGCTGACATGCAGTCTTTGAGATGGGAGCCCTCAAAAAAGGAATCAGAAAAGGCCAAAATTGATGTAAAATCCATCAAGGAGGTTCGCACAGGGAAAAATACAGACACTTTCAGAACTAATGGGTCCTACGATCAGATCTCAGAGGACTGTGCTTTCTCTATAATCTTTGGGGAGAACTATGAATCACTGGACCTGGTGGCAAACACTGCAGATGTAGCAAACATCTGGGTAACAGGGCTGAGGTACCTGATCTCCTATGGGAAACATACATTAAACATGATAGAGAGTAGTCAGAACAACATGCGCTCATCTTGGCTTGGTGAGCTTTTTGATGAGGCCGACAGTAACAGCAGCAAGCAAATATCGATATGTGCTGCTGTGCAGCTGATCAAGAAGTTGAACCCGGGACTCAAAAATGTGAAAATAGAACTGAAGTTCAAAGAGCTTCACAAAGCTAAGGACAAAGTAGGCTCTGATGTGACAAGAGAGGAGTTCATCGAGGTTTTTCATGATCTTTGTACCAGACCAGAGATTTATTTCCTCTTTGTTCAATTTTCCAGTAACAAAGAGTTTCTGGATACCAAGGACTTGATGATATTCCTGGAGGCAGAGCAGGGTATGGCCCAAGTCAGTGAAGACACCAGCTTAGAGGTCATTCAGAATTACGAACCATCCAAAGAGGGCCAGCTCAAGGGTTGGCTTTCTCTTGATGGATTCACCAACTACTTGATGTCTCCAGAGTGCCACATATTTGACCCTGAACACAAAGCAGTGTGCCAAGACATGAACCAGCCCCTTTCCCACTATTACATCAATTCATCTCACAACACTTACCTGATAGAAGACCAGTTCAGAGGTCCCTCTGATGTGACAGGGTATATCCGGGCCCTTAAGATGGGATGCCGGAGCGTAGAGCTGGATGTGTGGGATGGGCCTGATAACGAACCCGTCATTTACACCGGTCACACAATGACGTCCCAGATAGTTTTTCGCGGTGTCATTGACGTCATTAACAAGTATGCCTTTGTTGCATCTGAGTTCCCCCTTATTTTGTGCTTAGAGAACCACTGTTCCTTGAAGCAGCAGAAAGTCATGTTCCAGCACCTTAAAAAGATCCTCGGAGACAAGATCCACCTAGATCCTCCAAAGCCGGAGGACAGTTATCTCCCGACTCCTTTAGAGCTGAAGGGAAAGATACTGCTGAAGGGTAAGAAACTGAGTACAAACTGCACTGCTTCAGAGGGTGAGGTGACGGATGAGGACGAGGGGGCAGAGATGTCTCAAAGGATGAGCATTGAGTCTGCAGAACAACAGACTATCATACCCAAAAAGTTCCAGCTGTCAAAGGACCTCTCTGATCTGGTGACCTTATGTAAGTCTGTGGAGTTTAAAGACTTCCCGACGTCTTTCCAGAGCCAGAAGCAATGGGAACTCTGCTCTTTCAATGAGGTCTTTGCAAGTCGCTGCGCCAGCGACTTCCCGGGTGACTTTGTAAACTACAACAAGAAATTCCTCGCGCGAGTTTACCCCAGCCCCATGCGGATTGACTCCAGCAACATGAATCCACAGGATTTCTGGAAGTGCGGCTGCCAGATTGTGGCGATGAACTACCAGACGCCCGGGCTGATGATGGATTTGAACATTGGCTGGTTCCGTCAGAACGGGAACTGCGGCTTTGTGCTGCGCCCAGCGATCATGAGGGAGCAGGTTTCATACTTTAGTGCCAACACAAAAGATTCAGTGCCTGGTGTTTCTCCACAGCTCTTACACATAAAGATCATCAGTGGACAAAACTTTCCCAAACCCAAAGGCTCAGGTGCCAAAGGAGACGTGGTGGACCCTTATGTGTATGTGGAGATACATGGGATTCCTGCTGACTGTGCTGAACAAAGGACTAGAACAGTCAACCAGAACGGGGACAACCCCCTGTTTGACGAGAGCTTTGAGTTTCAGATAAACCTCCCAGAGCTAGCAATGGTACGCTTCGTGGTGCTCGACGATGACTACATCGGTGATGAATTCATCGGCCAATACACGATCCCCTTTGAGTGTCTCCAGCCAGGTTTTCGCCACGTACCTCTACAGTCTCTGACGGGGGAGGTTCTGCCACATACGTTGTTGTTTGTTCATGTGGCAATAACCAATCGAAGAGGGGGCGGCAAACCTCACAAAAGGGGGCTGTCCGTACGAAAAGGCAAGAAGAGCAGAGAGTATGCCAGCATGAGAGTGTTATTGATCAAGGCTTTGGATGATGTCTTCAAAACAGCCATGCAGCCGCTGAGAGAGGCGACAGACCTCAGAGAGAACATGCAGGTAAGACATTTGAATAAAACTTCACTGTACTCACTCTTTAAACTCTGATATTTGCAGAATTGAACCCACAACTCTATCCTTGATACCTGCAGCAATTGTTTGACTTTTTCCTCCCATCTCTCAGTATGTTTTGTGAGGAAGGGGGTAGACTTATAAAAAATGTAACCACAAGTCAAGTCGACAAGATTACAGCCAGATTTACTACCAAGAATTTTCAGCCTCGAAAAAAAGGGCTGACCACAAGGACAAACACAAAACCACCGGGCAAAAGTCAAACAGATGATGGGAAATGATCTGAAAAATCAAATGAGATTTGCAGTTACATGGATGAGGATAATAAGTTTTATCACGCATGATTATGTGTTTTAACTGAAGGTCTTGCAAGTTTAATGACCTCTCATCCTGAAGCTTTTTGCCCTTATCTAAAATTGAGCCGTTCCAGACACCAAAGAGCTCATGAATATGTTTCATTACTCTATTTTACGTGGTGAAGTTAATGTTTCATTTGTGGTGTTTAAAGAAATATTTGAGAAATGCTACAGGAGTGTCACAACACTTTGTGGTTGGTCTCATGTTGTGTGTCCCCAGGCATTGTATTAGGATTTATTTTGGTAGACCTGTTTATATTACGCTCATTGTGTGATAACAAGCCACTGGCCTTGACACTATAACACATCCCGGCCGCCCTGTCACAGATTGTCCCCCCGGTTGTTTATGTAGGGTTTAAATTTGGCCTTTCACAGGAAGACGAGGATCTCTGTGTGTGCACATGTGTGTGTGTGTGTGTACGTCCATGTAACACTGGTGACGGTCCAAGAGGTCTGAGTGTTTATGAGTGGTGTAGAAGTGACAAAATGAAGGTTCCCACTTGTGCTGCGGGCTTCCAGCCATTCCCTCTGACAGGGTGTTCCTCTCAGTGGTTGTGGTTATATATTTCATGCTGACCACAGCTATCTTTGAGAATATTCAGCACCTTATCTATGAGACAAACGTTTTGCTTGCGTGGCTTTAATAAAGTGTGTACCTGTTTGTCGGCGCTGCTGTAATTTCTCTCTTCTCTCTGCAGAATGCCATCGTGTCCTTTAAAGAGCTGTGCGGCCTTTCAGCGGTGGCTAACCTGAAGCAGTGCATCTTGGCTCTTTCCCCTCGACTGACCGGCCCTGACAACAGCCCTCTTGTGGTTTTTAACCTCTCTGACCAGTACCCGAACATGGAGCCCCAGGGCCTGCTCCCAGAGGTCCTCAAGAAAGTCGTCACCACCTATGAAATGGTGAGTAAAATTTTATTTGACTTGCACATTAATAAAACCTGACTCAATCAGACAAATTACCATAATTAAAAGCACAATAGAAAGAGACATATTACTAATCTGTGTGGGCGGGCGCTAAAGGGAATTTCACATATCACCAAACCTGGAAAAATGCAGAGGAATGATTCAGAGGAGCTGTGATGATAACCTGCTAATTTTTTTTTTATTGAAATGTGCTTCATCTTCTCTCTCGATCATTCTTATGATTCTTGTGCAAGCAACAGAGGCTTATATTTCTATTTAGCCATCTTTTTTGCAGCCATCCATCAAAGAGAAAAGGACGACCTAACCAAGCCAACTAGCTCAGACCCCAATCGGATCAATACCTTTGGCTTTACTGGACTTAATTGGGACACAGAGATGGTTAGGTAACCGGGCTGCAGCTTTGTTAAGTAATAAAATCAATGATCACGTGTTATGCAACATGCTATTGAGGCTATTCCCTGACAAAACCATTATCCTTCACACATCCTGTCCGCTTAAATTGATTCTCATCACATTTGACTTTCCAATATTAAGTCAGGAAGGAAGCCAATATCCTCTCTAAAACTCATGAAGGAAGCCGAGCAACAAGTGAACTCCTCTGTGTGCTCCATGAGATTTATTTCTCTTCAACCCTGTTATATAAGTCAGCGTTTAGCATTAGTGCCTGAGCGCAGCAGTTTCCCGTCTCTCACGTTTACAGTGTGCATACAGGGAGAGTGCACCACTCAGGTGAAAACAGGCTCTTGATCGCCTTTTACTAGAGGCTATACTAGAAAAAACAGAGGTGCGCACTCCTCTGAAGAGCTGACCAAAATCCTCCATGTCATTTAACCTGTTAGAGAAAAAAACGCGCTGAGAAACACGTATGTTATCTGCACCAACAGTGCTACTTCTATGGCCCATTCTGTCCCCTGGGATTCGAAGATGAATATCTGAAGAGTGCTGAGGCAGAAAAGATTCAAGCGCGAACCGATTAAGGTGACCCCTCCGGTCTATTCAGACTCAGGAGTGGAGGGCTGTGTAATTGGCCCTGATGGCAAAAGCATCAGAGAGATGTAGTTGAAGGGAGAGACGGTGGAAATTGACGGGTGTTTGGGGAGCAAAATCGAATGAATTAAGAGGCAGGGCTTAAGTGGTCTGAAGCATGTAGGCCTTGATCATCAGCAGATTGCCAGAAGAGACAGGGAGCAGAAAGGTGCGCTGCTTAAGGAAAGCTGACAAGTAGAGAGGCACAAATGAAATGAGGAAAATCAAACTTAAAAGAGTCGTAAATAATGTATAGGACGATAAAATTAGAATTCAGGCAGCGTGTCAAAATCCACCATCAGGGAGGAGGCAGGGACCGGCTCCTTAATTGGCCAAAACAGAATCTAGGTCTCAATCCCTGCCCATTCATGTGCAGAAAAAAGGCGGAGAGACTCAGTGTGATGCCAGCTTGTGTTCTTAGATAATGTGGTCTGATTTCTGTGTCTGTTCATAACAGATGAATTGAGGGCACTGTCTGTAAATAGAGATAAGATAGGAATGCACAGTCTTTGAAACACTAAACCACAGAGAAAACAAGGCCCATATGTTAGCTATTGTTTTGTCCCACAACAATACATTTCTAATCATTGTAAACATACATAATTATTAGGTCCCATTGTTTCAATTCAGCAGGATGTCTTAACTAACTTTAGACATGTACAATCCCTTTGAATGTAAAATTGTATTATATTTACTTACTTAAAATTAGTCTTTTATATCCACATAGGAGCAGACCCTCTTCAACAGAGGCCGCCATGTTTCCATCAACAAACACATGTTTTTGTGTTTAGTGTCAACAAAATACCGCGGTTAGTCGACAAATGAAAGAGTGGTTATCGTATTAATAGGAGTTTTGATGGTAAAAATGAAGGATCTTAATTATGTCCTTGGAGGCCACAGATAGATAGATAGATAGATAGATAGATAGATAGATAGATAGATAGATAGATAGATAGATAGATAGATAGATAGATAGATAGATAGATAGATAGATAGATAGATAGATAGATAGATAGATAGATAGATAGATAGATAGATAGATAGATAGATAGATAGATAGATAGATAGATAGATAGATAGATAGATAGATAGATAGATAGATAGATAGATAGATAGATAGATAGATAGATAGATAGATAGATAGATAGATAGATAGATAGATAGATAGATAGATAGATAGATAGATAGATAGATAGATAGATAGATAGATAGATAGATAGATAGATAGATAGATAGATAGATAGATAGATAGATAGATAGATAGATAGATAGATAGATAGATAGATAGATAGATAGATAGATAGATAGATAGATAGATAGATAGATAGATAGATAGATAGATAGATAGATAGATAGATAGATAGATAGATAGATAGATAGATAGATAGATAGATAGATAGATAGATAGATAGATAGATAGATAGATAGATAGATAGATAGATAGATAGATAGATAGATAGATAGATAGATAGATAGATAGATAGATAGATAGATAGATAGATAGATAGATAGATAGATAAAAAATACTAAAAATACTAAATATACAATAAATACAGACTAAATATACTAAACATCCCAAGAGAAAAAAGTGAGATATGAAAAATGTGGACTATTAAAATGAGTAATAAATATGAAATATTTATGATTTATGATTGATCATCAGGAGTGGTGAGCAAGGGAGCGTTTTAATCTATATTCTCACTGCTCGATATCACATGATATTCCAGTTCTACGCACTGCACCTTTAAACCAAATAAGCCTGTGTCTCTCTGTAAATAGCTGTAATTACTGTAATAAAAGTTAACACACAACTCACAAGCTGTAGTCTTCATTGCACAAATGGGGCAAAGACCACCCACTCACCTTCTAGTGTGCCTTTAAACACATTTTAGACGCAGCGTCTGCCACCAAGACAGTAATTTCTTTTCCCATCAGGGAAGTAATCACAGCGTGTGCGACAGCTGCAGCTGCAGAGTGACACAAACAGCCAAAGCCACTTAGTCATGATGGCGTGTAACATGGTGATTCACCCCATGGGTTGGGGTGAGACTGTGCCGATTGCACCATACAAGTCACAATGTCAGGAGACGGCCTCTATATCAATGTGGCAAATCCCCCATCTCGCTAACTACTGCTAATGAATCAGGTTTAAATCAAAGTTCTGATGATGTAGACATAAGTTTGAGTTTAGGAGGTGATATATATTCACAGTGAAGAAGTTTGATCATTTTTGTTGATGTTTGAGTCTAAACAAACATAATTAGGAGAAGACAACCAGCACTTTTGAAGGGAGTGTTGAAAGTATCGCACTAACACAGACTGTGACAGGCCTCCTGATGATACAAGTCTTTCAAACTGGGTCACAGATATGAGTAGTAGCTTCAGCTGTCAAAGCTGCATTTGAATATCTTAATGAAAGCTGTGCAGTTGGTGCTGTAGCAAGTGCTGCTAGTTGTACCACAGTACGTGTTGGTCTGACTCAAAATAAACAGAGTTGAGAGTGTTCACAGTGACACTCCATCAGATCATAAAACAATAACAACAATGGAGCTCGACTGAGAGGGAGAACGATCTAGTTTCTGTTTTGGATGCACCGGCAAAAACTCATTCAACAGAGCCCACAGTACACTCCAAAAGAAGAACCTTCACAAGCCCGGCTTCTTTGTTTCACAGAACCCAAGTAAATAAATACCCAGTGTGTGGTTTTTAGTGAGCATGATGGTGGCTCAGAAGCTAAAGAGGTGTGACATGAAAAACTTGGCTTTTAGTGGGAAAAATAACCTGCCATGGTTCTTGATATTTTTATATTTGACAGAAATCTGTCCATTTCTTCATTGGAGGGGTTGAGAGAGCTGAGGTTGAATGTATGGACTGTAGGCAGGCAGGGAATCAAATTACAGACCCTGATAATTATGAACGTTAACAATGTGCCTTGATTAACATGATGTACATGCACACAGACCTACTTGTCTCTCTTGCACAGAAAAAAAATAGAGAGCATATATATATATATAACATCTCTCTGTCTCTGCATCGGTGCAATGAAGTAAAAGATTCATTGCACAGAGCAGTTGTCTTACAACACATGGGACATACTGTATTCTCGCTCTGCAACCCTGCGGTGATATAGTACAATCTCTACAAAGCAAAGACAAAAAGTGACATCAGTTTTAGTTCTCGACTCCAGACCCCAGTTTACACAAAACTCAAAGTTAACCTCTTGAAGAATGGAAAAGCAGAAGACAGCAGTATTGAATGACTGAGCTACAAAGTGAAAAGAGCTGCAGTAGTAAAAACAAAGCGTTTAAATCGGAGAACTATAGCGCATTATTCTGAGGCAGACGCTGAATATAACACAATCACGAGTCCACTAACTTAAAGACAGAGTTTAGATTCAGCTGAACCACATCCTGTTCACTGTGTCTCCATTGTCTGTGTGTGTGTGTTAGCTCAGCCCAGCACTTTATCAAACAGACACACACCTGCAGCTCTTTATACAACCATGACATGGACAGAAAGCAGAGGAGAGAGACTGAGACGGTGATGTAACCTGGTCGCAACTTTTTATTGAGGACCGGATTTGTTTTAGAAGAAATTACAGGATGTCCTCTCTTTTCCATTATAGAGCTTAACTCTAAATTCCTCTAAGCAGGAACAGCACTGTGAAAGCATGAGGCACTCACCCTCTGTTTGGATGATTCTGGACCCCAAAACCACCTCGTCTCTGCTCCAGCTCACACACATTTGTTTATGCTGCGACCTCCTCTTTCGAAAAGCTGCTGCTGCTTTTAAGATTGCACATCTAAAACCTCAAAATCCATTCAATACAAATACCTGCCCAGCTGTGCTTTTTACACAGGCATTATTTTGATATAAACACCACCTTTACCTCTAGAGTTAAAGCTACACAGCCACCCCCTTTATTTTACGTTAACGGTTTCTTATACTTCCTGTCATCTGGATCAAGTCATAGTTGAATTTGGTGCTTTTAGAAAGATTTCACCAAAAGAAAAAAAATCTGTAATTAAATTTGAACAAAACCAATCTGAGGGTGTTGGATGTATTTCTCTTAGTTCCCTCCACCCTGTGAACAGCTACCCTCCCCCTTTATTCTTTCTGTTTCTGGCAGACCACAGAGATTGTTCTCAGGGGCGTGATGTTGGTCTCTGCTCTTTTTTTTTTTTCTGAGTGGCTTTGTTACACTCTGCCTGAATGATTTGTTGTTTTTCTTTCCTTCCTCGCTGTCTTGGCAGCTGAGCAGGCTCGTCTGGGCTTTGTGTTGCAACCTTAAGGTGCACTTTTGGGGTGTAAAAGTGAATGTAAAAGTCACTTACAACGAGGACTGGGCAACAAAACGATAACGATATAAATCGAAAATTAATTTCCCTCAATATCAATATAAAACATGATCAATATGCTTCTCAATAGTCGACATTCTGTTTTGGTAGACTATACGAATAGCCAATGAAAAGGGGAGTTAAACCAATCATGTGCTGAATTAGAATCAAGTATCAAACAACTGCGTCGTAGCAGACAGCAGCTACACCCAACTATAGCACTGAAGCCGACAGCACTGTTGGTGAGAAAAAAAGAAAATGAGTGCTACCGCCGACAGAAATGACCATGAAGGCTCAACAGATGGCCACATCGTCCACAACACTGGCGGTACGAAAACGTCGGTGGTGTGGAATAAACACTGTTAGATTTCATTTTTATATCCTGATATATATCGATATCGACTGATATGAAAAATAATATATCGTGATAAACTTTTTCACATATCACCCAGCCCTACTTACAACATGAAATGGCAGCGTGCACAGACTCCATGCAGTACTAAGTGAAATCAAAAGCAACACCAGCTACATACATACAGTACATCATCCCCTTCAGACGGAACAATTAAGCTGTTACTGAGATTATGGGAGAGAAGGATCCAGATGGTCCGTCAGGCCCCCTGTTCTCTCAGTGCTTATTTACCTCTTTCTGTGACAGCCCACATATGCATCATTAACCTCCTGAAAACACCACTGTGCTGCCTCCCCCTGCATAAGGAAACCAAAGTTTTTCTGGGGAGATTTAATATGTAAATGGATCCCTTTGAGTCTGCTTTAAAGGCCACCGTGAGAGTTTTAACAGTCGGCAGGTCAGCAGAGTTTGTGCACTCAATTAAGGCTGAGCATAACACCACAGGAGCTAAATTTAGACTCCTTCACAGCTGCAATTTCACAGATAACAAGGTAGCAGTCTGTTTCAAATGACTCACATGTTTAGCTCTGACTCTGATAATAATTATGTGACCTTGATGATCTGCCTTTTCTCTTACAGGGATGCTTTGAAACCTCAGTAACAGGAGTGACTGTTTTTTGTTCCTCATAAAAACAAGAATCTTTGCCCGTTTAAAGAAAACCTAACTTTTAATAAACACCATCATCTCTCGTGTCTCCCTGCCTCTAATTTTGGCTTTAAAAAAGGCAATTCAGGGACCACACCCGCCATCGTGCCTGTAATAACAGCTTGTGTCTGAGCCTGGCTGCCAGACGGAGCCTGCTCCCTGCTTTATTGTGGGACGCCAGTTCTGCTGATGTGGAAAAGAAAAAAACGAACAGTGTGTTTGTGTCTCTTCAGGTGATTCAGACCAGCAAGACTCTGCTGGAGAACTCTGAGGGGGTGTACGAGAGGATTCTTCAGACGCAGAAAACAGGTAAGAGATGGTTCGAGAGTGAAAGAGAAAGACTGTTGGAGGGCGTTTCCTCTCACTGTCACACATCTTCATCACTTCGAATTGTTTTAACACCACACAACAACAGAGCGCTAAAAATGAAAGGACTGTGGTCTGTACAAAGCTGCAACACACAACTCACCTGCCTCAAGTGTCACCAAAAACTATATAACCCTCTTCCTTTAAGACTTGTTTGCACCTGTAAGCCCACATGAAACCAAGTCTTTTACATACGCAGAGAAAAAAAAACTCCCTATAGGAGCTTTAATTCACACCAGTAACTGCCACTGTGCTTGATTTCAAAGATCTGAACCACACAGCATTGCCCTTTAACAGTTTGGTAGAAAACCTCTGAAAAAAACCTTCATTACAGGTACAACGTGTTGAATTTAGAGACCAGGCTTCATATAAATGCCCCAAAATATCAATTAGTGTATAATAATCTTCATATAAATATCCTTTATTGCACCATTATAGCACTAGACAGACAAACTAGCAATATATGTGGTTTCATATTTAGTGAGTGGCCACACAGAATGACCTGGTGGTAGGAAGGAGAAGAAGAAGAAGAAGAAGGAGGAGAAGTAGAGGAAGTAGAGGAAGAAGAAGGAGAAGGAGAAGAAGGAAAGAAGGAGAAGAAGAAGAAGGAGAAGAAGAAGGAGAAGAAGGAAAGAAGGAGAAAAAGAAGAAGAAAGAGAAGAAGAAAGGAGCGGTAATTGTGCACAAAAGAATGATAAAAACCACATCAATGAAAGATGGTACTTATTATACCGATTAAAGCAGCTCCTTGTCGTCGCAGAGCCACCATTGCTTCTGGAATTCCACCAACGCAAAGCGGTTTCACTTTTCACACTGACTGCCAGTATGGCTGTCCCGACACAATATTGATATCAGATATTAGATATCGGTCCAATATCAGCCAAAAAAAATATCTGAATATATCGGCCTTTATCTAAAATCTACGGCATCAGCACTCCGATACATGCAGTCCATTCCAGACTCCACTCCAGCACCTCTAGCTAGTATGCAGAGCCTACATGATCACAACATCAGTGCGTACTAAGTTACTAACAGAGTAGTGAGGAGTAAGCGTGATGTCAGCTGTGAGGCAAAGCCCCAAAAAAGACGTTGCAGCTGAGTGCAAAACTTGTCATGCACAAGTTTGTTGCAAATATCGGATCAATATCGGTATCAGCCGATACTTACAGTGACAATATCGGTATCATATCGGAAGTTAGAAAGTTGTATTTGGACACCCCTAACTGCCAGATATTGCTCAATTTGCCCATTTACACATTAAACCTTTAAACAAGATGTCTTGGAGAAAATGGTTGTTTTGTTGTGAACGGTGACAAAAGATGACAAATGTGTGGAGAGGAATTCAAGTCCAGAGCGAGTCTGTCTACAGACAGTGATGACTCTGGAAAAGGGAGTTATCTCAGCTTACTTTAATGACTATTTGGCAGTGATGCTGGTGAGCAAACGCCATTTTTAATTCGACTGCGGTGTCACTTCAAACAGACGAACTGTGGTTTCAGGTCAACAGGTTACTATCGTACAGGAAAGCTGGTGTTTAAAGTGTTTGTGTGTGGACAGTCTGAGTCAGTCTAAACAGGGTGAGGTGACGGTGTTTGGATGATGTTTCTGAGATGCTTGCACAGCAACAAAGTGCATAAATAAAAGTCAGAAACCTCAGACAGGTCAAACCACTGAGCTCAACAGAAAATTGTAAACTTTAGAGTGAAAACTGAAAATAACCAGATAAACAAGCTTCCTGGTTTCACAAAGTGTTACTCTATGATTATCTCCGCCTGTTGACAAGTCAGAAGTGACTACTGTGGGCAGGACTAGATGTCATATTTGTCTCTTACTAGTCGGACCAGGACGATTTGGTTACATTTTCAACTGATCCAGATTTGAAGACCAGGCTGGACATTTTCAGCACCGTTCAAGATCAGTCCTTTCTGCCTCTGCTGAAGGCGAATACATAAATGTAGTGAAACAGGAACATTTGTTGTTGATTTGCATGTGAAGCACTTTTGGTCACATGTCTTGCAGAGGCACATTGAAGTGTATGGATATGATTAAAGTAGAAATGAGTCCTGTCATTGTATGGACTCAGTTCATCCACACACGCTCTCTGTAGCTCCTTCAGGCTCTGTCAACAGTTGCTAAGATCCATGAGATGAGCTGCTGCGGCTCTCCGTCGGGCTATGAAGGACCATACCAGGATTGTACATTATGATTCATGAGCTTCAAGCAAGCTCTGTACTTTGGCCTCCCTCTCCTGTGTTCCTGAGTTGTTGACAACATTTTTCAAAGCAGAGTTAGTCAGCATGGTCTGAAACTTCCACGAGCCCCCCACTCCAATCAGTACTGGGCAAGTGCAATTCTCTACAGAGACAGGAAGGATGAGACAAGATAGCAGGCTACCGTCACGCTCACTGTATCTGCTGTTCACTTACTTATCAATATATTGTGTTAATGTACCCTGGTCAGGTCGAGGCTACTCAAGGGGTTGCCTGCGGGCCAGGTTCAGCCCAAGGGCCACCAATCAAATAGCCTGGAGTCAGACCTTCACAAATGAATCTAATGGTAATGAAATCCGGGATCACCAGCCTGTGGTAACATAACGACTGTACAGGCCAGGGGCTAAGTGACTCCGTTTAGCTTTTTCTGATGATTGATCGGCTGACTTGATTGTTAGCTCATCAGTGAATCCCTGCTGGGTTCAGGAACATCCACACAAACCGTCTCGAGAGGGAGAAGATTTACCTGGAAAGCTCTCAGTGATTTTATCTCCGCTCCTTGAACAGCTCTTGTTAAATGTGTGTTTAACTCGTGTTAATAGTCTTGTTATGTTGATCACACATGTTGAAAAGATTAATTTCACTTAATACTTTTGGCGATGCAGCACTTTGAGGAAATTATTCAGAGTAAATGGGGCCGATTATTGTGGTGCTGGCGTGCTGGAAGTGCTCGGTGCGAGTGGAGGAGGGGAAGACCAACCATCAGTAACATAGCTCAGCTTTATTGGTGCCCTGAAGGAGGACTTATAAAATATTCAATTTCCATTGTCTTGGCCCATCAGAGAGAAGGACCGTCTCTCTAAACCGATGCAGATCAGGAGCTGCAGGCTGTTTTTTCCTTCAGCTAGAGACCTTTAAGCCTTTAGTAATTTCATGCCATTGGTTTTTAGATTAATATGTGCTTTAGTTCCTGGCATCTGAAAGTTTCGACTGACATTGGTGCTTACATATGTGCAGGGAGGAGTTTTATTGACTGTTTCTTAAATGTTTGAAGGTTATAAAATGATCTTGATGCAGGATCATTCTCGAATTCAACTTCAGTGTTTCCCCCTATAGTGTATTTGGCAGAGATCCCAACCCAGAAATTGAAGTCAGACTCTAAACGTCCTTACACACCGGGACCGACGCAAATATCTGACGCGAAATTACGAAATATTTGGAGGCAAATTTTGACGCGCCTGACCTTACACATCAAGCCGGTCGGCCATGTTGGATATACCGGTGAATCTGACGTCACAACAACAATCTGATTGGTCAGAAGTGGACAAACAGTGTGCGAAACTTTAGAAAAAAATCGACTTTGAAAATAAAAAATGCCGCACTATAGCAGGACGGGAAAACCCCGCTGATGTGAACACTTGTATTGACAGGATATGAGTTCGAAAAAAAAATATTGCTCCCGGTGTGTAAGGACTATAAAGCTCGCAATCGTTTCATCATTTAAGAAAAATGTTTCTCTCCGCTCCTCTGCGATGAACAGGGCTCGCCGCTCGCTCCTCTCCCTATCTCACTCCATACACGCGTGCTGACATGCCGCGCCACGTAGTTCAGAGGCTACGTCCACTGATTCTGGTGCTCTGGTTGCGAGCGCTTACTGCTCATACCCTGCCAGTTTTGCGCAGCCGCAGGGTGGTTTTGACAACCCGGAGTCCACTATGTTTTCCACTTACAAAACAATTTAAAAAACTGGTCATGGAGCAGCAAACTGTCCCAGAACGTTCAACATTACTTGTGGATGCTAGCTTAATCACCTCTCCCCAAAAAACAGCGCTGGCTCATCTACCCTCGTATGTCTACGTCATGAGCTCGCCCCCCGCCAAAGTGAAAAAGCTCGAGGAAACACTGAACTTGATGATGAGAACTGCTCTGTCTTTATTTTTACTAGTAAAAGGTAGAAAAAACACACAGCTGTGAATGAAACTGAGACGACTTACGAACATTTAAATAAATAAATCTTCAGATGAACTTGGAAAGCATCTGCTTCCTCCAGGCCCCATTCAGTTTCACTCAGCCTGTTTTCTCAACCAGCTGCTGTTTAACCACCAGTGTGCAGATTTTGAGTTTAACATTATTTATAAAACCAACACTCTGCATCTGTTGGAGCTCATCACATAAATTTTACACATTATTTGATACACACAGCAAATGTATAAGCAGACCAACCTTGATGTTGTTCTAGGTTTCTTCTATAATATAATAAACTATTTAAATTAATTCAATGTATTCTAGCCTGGAGGAGAAGTCTTTTCTACTTTATAACAAAACAAAGTAGGATTTCATCACCGGTGAGGTTCTGTTAAAGGTCAGGTGATGCTCCATTTCATGTTGCGTGAGTTTGGAAACAACAGGATGTGATGTAACTACCTTTTGTTCAGTGCAGTGAGGCCAAGCCATTATTGAAATCCCCCTCGTCTGCATGAATCAGTCCTTTATATGAAACAATACTCAGACGAATAACACGGCACTGGAACTGGACCACACAAGCTTTTCGATCTCAGAGCTGTGTTATGTATGAACATCTCCAATCAGCTGATGAAAACTCAATAGCAGACAACACAAACTAGGACACAACAGATGGCAAACTGATGAACTTGAGCATTGACTGATTTTCCATCCTGAACTGACATATTTTAACCCCGGTGCTGTTTGTGTGTACAACCGTACACGTGCGTTTGCCGGTGTGCTTGTTTGTATTTGTGTGTGTGAGTTGTGGTTTTCTCGCACTTGTCTGTTGCGCAGAAACTGGGTCAGTACAAACCCAATTCCCCCTTTACAGCGAGCGGAACGTTCCAGCAGCAACAGCTATTAAAGTTGTGAATAATCCATCACATGAGCTCAGACAGGAGCCCACTCCAAATCTCACACAGGCAGTGTCAGAGAACACAGTCAGGTGTTAGCAGCTCCAACATGGATGTAACTTCCCTCTGCCCACACATACTTAGGCTCAAATTAGCATTCAGAGCAGCTGGGTGGCTGGACCTGCTGCAGACTAACAAGATCATTATGGAAGATGTTCTTAAATGCCAAGTGGAAAATTATCCTAGAGGAGTGGCTCTGCTGTGACATTATGCAGAACTCAAAGCAGAGAGCTAATGCTCGCCGCACAGGTTAAAATACCTTTTCAATGTGAATTCCCCAAAGTCTTTCAGAGTGTGTGGCGGCCGTCACTACACAGCTCGTTTTTTAATAGTTTTCAAGAGTTGATCTTAAGATGGACCGCAAGAAATTATTGATTCAATGAAGCAGATTGCTGCACCTGAAGTACATTTGCTCATATTCACAGTGGAAAAGAATGACGTGTTTGATCGTTAAAGATAGGAGAACATCAAGGATTTACTTTCATGCGATTATGTAAGGACAGAACAAGAGAGATAATAATACAGATTTATCCAGAGGGGATTCCAATACTGACCGGATGCAAACAGCAGAGTATGTGCAGAGTTGGTACTTATCAGGAAATCAAGTGAGTTGACAGACTTATAGTTTAATTTTATGAGCTGCAAAGTTTGTAATCGACTCAGATATTCCAAATCAAGTATTCTGTGACTAATACTGATCCTATGAGTTGACTGGTATCAAGCTAGTTCAGCAAATCTTCAGCAGTTAATTCTATTTCCATACCTCACATTTCCAAGCACCAGACTAGAGAGCAAGAACCACAAACACAAAAAATACACAAATTCAGAAAATGTCCTTGGCTTCTGTACCTCATAATAGTTTAACTTCAATTTCATCACCTGCCTGTGCCCACTTTGCCTGCACTATACAAACACCTGTGCAGAGTCCATGAGGAGATACAGCAGAATTATTGCTCAGGAATGACACAGACTGAAATTTCACTAAAGTTTGCTATGAAAGCCCCCCCTCTTAGACCCTGTCGTGGACCCTCCCTGCGCTGACAGTGAGGCGGTGCAGGTTCATTTGTTTGGCAGAGTGCTTCTGACGTCTGACTTATTGGAATCCTTTAAATCGAGCTTACTCCTGCTTGTTTCTCTAAAGCGCTGAATCCGACTTATTTTTTGGCTGAACTTTCGTCTTTTAATCCAGTTTTGTGAAACATTGTTCACCACGTCTCTTCTTTAAAAGTCATGAGTGTAGAAGTTTTTCTCTAAAAGATTTCTGAACATGTTCAATCGTTCACCAAATTTAAATTTTTTAACCTTTAAGATGCCAAATTTCCCAGCTTAAATTTCATTAAAATTCATTAAATAAAGGAAATAAAGATTTGACCTCCTTGGAGAACCCCAGACCCTTACTTATCCAAGCTCTCTGGTAACAGGGGCTAAAGTTTAACTAAAACTAACTGTTATCCTTTATTTGTTAAACAGTAGCAGCTTTTTGATGTTAATACCCCTCGTTTGGTCCTATTTGGGGTTTCTTAAATACATTTTTCTAAAGCCACAACCTCCAACTTTCTGATGTGTTAAAATTACTGAGGGATTTAAATTATTTTTTTATCATTATTGATCATTAATTGGTTCAATTTTCAACATAGTGCTCAGAAACAGCTGCAACAGTCCTGTCATACTAACAACCAATCCAACAGATCTTTCAGGTTGTGGGCTTTTTATCTGACCCTCTACACATCAGCCGTTATTGTACAGTTATGGTCTTGCAGCATTACCTCACAGACATCAGTGTGTGCAGCGCCTCGCTGGGAATGAGCTTCCCCTCGTCTTGCCTATCAGACTCCATGAAATGTTGCTAGGCAACCTCCATGTGAGCAAGAGATGGAAGAAGCTGCGCGCTTCCTTCAGCACAGTCATGGTTCACGTGCAGCAGCAGCAGCAGCTCCGTAGTTACGGCACAGAGACCTGAAACAGAGGAGAGAATAATGTGACATGTTGGTTATGACATGAGCAGAGAAGGTGGAAAAACAAGTGTGTGTGTGTGTGTGTGTGTGTGTGTGTGTGTGTGTGTGTGTGTGTGTGTGTGTGTGTGTGTGTGTGTGTGTGTGTGTTTTAGGAGCACAGGTGTGATGTCAGTCTCGGAGACGAGAAGTGTGTCAGAGATGACAGTAAATTCTGTCAGTTTCTGGAGGTTGTTTTCACGCCTGAGATCTGGTGGCAGACTTGTTTTCTCAGCTGAGAGGTTCTCGAACAGCCCAACCCCTCACCTATTATGGTGATTTCACATGAAGGGGGATACTCTCATGTGCACACCATGTTTCCATGGCAACAGCACCAACAGGGGCCCAGGCTGGCTCTAACTGATATTAGAGCTTCAAGCGGAAATGTGTGCGTCCTCTGTAGGAGTTTCCAGAGCACAAGTGTTACGCAGTTGTGGGCTTTGTGTGGAGTAGGAACTCTGCTTCATCTCCTTTTGGTTTATTTCGCTCCCAGGCTAAGGCTGCCTGTTGCTGCAGTGTCAGAGCTGTACTGTACAGTCAGCTCAACATTAAACATGTCCTTACTCAGACTCAGTCATGCAAAGGGAACGAAAAAAAAAAGAAAGAGAGAGGAAGAGAGGAGGTGGGAAAGCTCCTCAGGAGACAAATCCCTCCTCTGTTTCATGCCTTGATGCTAATCCACAGTGAAAGAACGTCATGTCTGTCTGCCTACACTGCATCTCTGCTCTGCCTCTCTCTCAGTTTCCGGGGGCTCGTCCTTTTCCTTCTCATCCTGCCTCACAGCTTCCTTCAGAGCCGCTTGTTGTTTTCTTCTCTGCCTTTGAGTTATCTTTCCTTTTTAATGCTTTCTCTCTTTTTTTTTTTCCTTCACACTCCACCAACTGTTGCCGACTCCTGTTCCTCCACGTCCTGCCAACAACTTCAGATGTGCTACGATGCTACTCTCCCCACTTAATAACATTTCACTGGAACATATTGATTTCAGAGTTATGGAGATCAGACGCTTTACAAACTGTTCTCTGTTCAAATAAGAAAAACACAACAAGTTCAACTCTGTAGATTTTTGAAACTGCAGAGAGACAAGATGATTCCTACTTTGTAAGACAACAGACACTGACAGAAAAGAAACTAATTTGTCGCACTTTTTAAACCAGTTTGAGGGTTTTCCAGTTTCTCTTGGAAGTATCCCAAGACCTCTTTAAATTACTTTTTATAAAACTTAAAAAAATAAACCAATATTGAATGACCTCTGGGCTCAGGTAGAAGAAGCAGACATGACTCTGTAGTGGAAATCCCTCTATACGCTTAAAATGGCTTCCTAAAACCATGGTATGTGAATACAGTCAGTTACTGCATCCAAATAGAGTATTTCTGTTAAAGTTTTATTACACAAAAAAAAACTTCTATAAACACGATCCAGGAGACTTTTCAGGTACAAAAGTTCCTGTCTTCTGAAACATCAAAATCTGACAATCATCTTGGAAATCATGGAAGCTGCATTCTCCACTCTAAAGAGGAGAGGAAGAGAGACCACGTGGCTTGTTCTGAGCGCACAGTTTCAAAGCCAGCATCCCTGTTGGTACGAGGGGATCTGAGTGCGGGTGACATGGGCAGCTTACATGTTGGGGTGGGCACCATTAGTGCAGAACAATGTGGGTTTAGGAGCAAGATGTGCTGCCTCGGACTGCCATGGACAATGCATTCCTCAGGGAAGACCTCACATATGTCAGCAAAACAATGCCAAACCACATCGCATGAGGGTCACAACAGCATGGCTCTGCAGCAGAAGGGTTAGGGAGCTAAACTGGTCTGACAGCAGTCCCAACTTGGCACCCATTAGAAATATTTGGTACATAGTGTACTTTATGCACTTTTGTACCTTTGCAGCTTAATTTGACTGAATGTGATGAGGCAGTTCTATGTTTTATTTGTGGCTGTTCTGCCTGAATCATCCGTGATCAAGATAGTTGGTTGTTGCTAGTTAGCTCAGAGCAGTTTTACTGTTTGAACAGAAGCTTTGTGTAAGAAATCCAGGATCCAACAGAGGATTCTTTAGAGTTCACAGAACATCAGCGTAACTCTCCTCAGCTTCCCTCTCTGACACAGTCTGACCCAGACCGACGGAGGCCACGTTCACAACATACAGTGTCGAGGTGATTTATAGTCGGTGCAACCGGGACTCTGACTCCAGGGACAGTGGAGATGACAAGGTTATGGCAGGGTCGACCCCTGGGCCTAAACCTGGCACTAAATCCCCCGCCGTACTCAGAAAAACATCCTTAACTTTAATTTATGTTAGAGTGAAAGTTTACCGGATTTATAATGTGTTTGCTATGGTGAGAGATGATCTTGTAATGTTAACAGAAACTCTTACTTTCTGTTTCAAAATGAAGCTTGGCAGCAGAACTGTAGGAAACACAGGCTGGAGAAGAACGCCAGAAAATCACACCTGATGTCTATTTTTTCTCCAGGCTGGTCATGCAGTACATCTTCAGCAGCAGCTATCTGTTCTTGCCAGTTATTATCACACCCAAGACATCCAGTAAGAAAGAAGAGGGAAGTCCTCCTCCACAGCCAGAGAACCACTGTACTTTTAACAAACTCAGCCTCGTCTCTGCTGCTGCAGGAGCCGGCTGTGAAATGTTGACAGCACATGTCAGGGTCTGTGCTCTAATGCGTTTCCTCACTGTGACAACAGGCTTAGCACCCAGTCACATATCCCAGACTGCTCCAGTCACCCCACGGCTGCTCCTCTGTCTAACATAACAACATGGACTCCAACATTTAAGACTGACTCCTCTGCTTTTTCTGTCTTTTCCCAGCGATGGAATTCCACGAGAACCTCCACGACTTGGCCGTGAAGGAGGGGCTGAAGGGCAGGAAGCTGCACAAGGCGGTGGAGAGCTTCACGTGGAACATCACCATACTGAAGGTGAGAAGTTCATTCAACTTAAAAACATATTTCACATAATTTCTCTCGGTCTCTCTGCTTGAGTATTCATGCACATGCCACACAGCGCACAGTAATTCGAAATGTGTTACTTCTCATGTGTCCATAAAACACATGGATGATTAGAGGGGGTCAGAGGTCGAGGTCAGAGCCCTCGAGCAATTTTCCTCATGGAAATTTCCATCAACGGGCGCTACCCTAGTTACATGACAGCTCTTGTTAGGCTCAGTTAGTGAACTGATTATCCGAGCATGGCGGTCACGAGTCTTTACAGGCCTGATTTACCAAGGGCATATGGGATGTGTGTAGTTCCTTTATGTTATCTTCAGCTGATTAATAATGATGTCACATATATAATATGTACATATGTCAAACTGTGTGGTGATGGAGGTTTTGTTTGAAGACTGTCAGCATCTGCTGGGTTAATCAAAGGGGAATAAATGATATCGTAAGACTTCTATCTGAACTGCCCAACAACAACAACAACCATCCTCTTTACATCAGTCTATTAAGGGAAATAGGAAGCAACATAACACCAAATGGCATAAAGCAGGATGTGAAAGCAGATCTGAACTCTGGCAGGTTGATCAAATACAATGAACCCCCTTCTTTCTTCACAGTCATGACCACACAGGGCTTGACACATACTTTTTCAGAAGGAGTACATGTTTTCCTAAGTTGAAAAAGTAAGGAGCACACAAAGAACTTTAGGGGCACAATTACAATTGATCAAATAATGTGTGTCTTATAGTCCGACCTTAGTACTATTATTTGAAATCAATTTTAGTTCAATTGATCACATAACATGGAAGCTATTGAAGGAAAACAGCCTTTTTTGAGAATATCAACAAGTAATTTATTGACGGTCCCTTATTCAACACCTGACGTTGACAGTGAGGATGTTGAGTAGATTTAAAACGCGCCACTGTTGCTGTTCTCGGTTATGGAGAGTGAGAAGACACCGGTAGATCCGCAGAGAATGTCCGTCTAATATCCAACCTAAAACTAACTTCACCGCCGTATTTACATGAAAAAACATTTGTTGCCTCAGCTGATTTTTTTATTTGCACATGTGCCCCTACATACATTTAACAATTCACACACATCTATTTTTAGTCGCAAATGTGAGTGAAACGGTCGCACTGTCGAGCCCTGCCACAGTCAGTCCTTAAGGGTCGGCCAATAAAATCACTTTTTTAGCAAAGGTCAATTCATAGTGGCAGCGACTCTATCAAGAAATAACAGACTCCTGCCATGAAATGTTGCCACAATCAGTAATCAATTACTTTTTGTGTTAAAAAGCAAACAATTCAGTTCTGTGTGTCTGAAATTAGAAACAGAAATTCATCCATTCTGTCTCACAAAAATCCCTTTTTTAACAATAAAGCTAACGTTAACCACTGACATCTTTTCATATACATTATTTTACACTTACTGTATATTTAAAAAGCACTCAGTTCTCATTCAATAATACATTTCATGGAGGCAGTATTGTGCGTCGCTGAACTGAGGGAGTCATTAGTGTACCGAGCCTGCGCCACTCTGCCCCTCACATCTTTATCTCACCTTTTATTTCAACCTCCACTGCTGAGACAGAGGGTAATTATTGTGGAATAACCTGCTGAATATTTATTTGTATTTGCACATGTTCATTAAGAATACCACAGGAGCGACTTCGCTATAATATATTTACTCTGCCCCCAGGCAGTTCAGCACGGAGGGTGTGTTTGATTCATTGTGTGTCCATGTGTAATCCAGGGCTGAACTTATATGGATCTCACTGTTGGCAGGCTTACAGTGTAAACAGCGCTGTGAGTTTTTTGATGCTCATTAAAAGTGCATCAAGTCATCGACTTCGAGCTCTTTAAGATTTAAGAATGGCAACAATCCAACCGAGCTTTGAACTGCGAACAAAGAGCTTTCTCTCCTGTGGGGGACACAGCGGTGATGGTTTGATATCATTCAGAGATGTTTGCTGTGTGTGTGTGTGTTTACATGTTCTCACGGCTTTTTCCATGCAGAACAGACCTTTAGAGAATCAGCACGACTACTGTGTGATGTTTGAAAACGGCCGAGTGAGACAGAACAGCCGAGTTAAAAATAATGATAACACAGATGTTTCAGTGATGGTCAAGTTAACACTCTTTGCCTTCAGCGGTTTTTTAATAGCGTTTGTCAGAGTTCGGGATGCTGCGCTTCCTGATCCCTGAATAGATGAGTTTCTGTTCTATCATTAAAAAGTAAACAAGGAAAGGACCGAAACTCATCTATGCAGGGGGCATAAACAAAAGGACAGAGAGGTAGATTCCTGTTTGGCTAATTAAAACTTTTAAAAATCTGGTTTTTGCCTCCACTTTCTCTCCCTGTTGGGTGAAAAATCTGTTTTATTGACTAATCTGACATGAGAAGAATCACCTCAGCACCCTATAATTGGCTCATTTGGGCTTTTCTGTGGTTTATAAAACAGACTTTATTTTCTTTGATGATAAGACAAAGAAGATTAAGGGGTTGATTTATTACAGCGCTTGAAGCCGGGGAAGGCAACCTTCAGAGAATCCAGCAACAGTAAGCAATATTTTAAAAGTATCTAAGTGAAAAACGCTACAACCACTCTCCCGAACACATGAGCGTGCACTTCGCTTTTGGTGCAGGGCAAGTACAGGAGACGGCAGCGGGTAAAAGAGCAGCGCTACTTTTGTTATACATTTATTTTTTTATTTATAGGAGAGAGAAAATGGTGCAGACATCAAAAGAGCAGATTGTAAAAGAACAAAGTAGGATACAAGTCCAGTTTCTGAGTAGGATGAGTGTATGACAGCACGTCAATGTGGACCTTCTGCAGTGTTTCCAGACATGTAGAGCTATTCATCTGTCTTTACATTCACTGTATGTTTAAGTTGTTGTTGTAGTATGTTTGTCCTTAGTAGTACCCGGTGAGAGATGAAGCGAAGACCTTCATTTTAATGTTTGTGTCCATCTGTAAATCCAGCACATCAGCAGTCTTCACGTCTCTCCTGTCGGTCAGTGTCAGTGAGGTGAAATGATCTCTTAAGCTTCATCCTGATCAATTCTGGGAAGACTAATCCTGATCTGTGATGTGCTCACACAAACCTGGATTCACTCACACATTTTCCCCTCCAGCTAACTTCTAATCCACCTCCCGCCGGGATAAGAGTCCCCTTCTTTGACCCCTCTTTCTTGGACAGAAGTTAGAGTTCCTCTCATTCGTTAAAAACCAACAGAGTAATGTTTTCCTGACAGACAGCGTTTGACTGGGATGGCTCAGATGGGTTGATGACAGATAGGGGTGGCCGGGGTTTGTTAACACACACAGATAATTAAAATAATAATAATAATGCTTCAGATTTTATAGCGCTTTATCGGAGACCCTCAAAGTGCTTTAGTAGTCAAAGTTGCCCCAGGGCAGACTAAAGAAAATGTGGCTGCCAATCCGCGCCTACAGCCTCTCTGACCACCACCACACATCACTCAAAATCATACACTAGTGGAGGACACACACTGAGAGCAAGGTGGGTTGGTCTTGCACAAGGACACAACAGACAGACTGGGGAAAGGAGGGAATCAAACTGCTAACCTTCCAGTTATTGGATGACCGCTCTACCTCCAAAGCTCCTGCCGCCCCAGTATTGGCGTATATCCACTCTGTCTTTACAATCTACTTTAGAGTGTCACGTTCATGTTATACATCTGTGTATGATTGAAGTATTAGGCCCACTGTTATTGTTGCAGCAGTAAAACAAGTACAAAATAAAGGAATCCTTTGGTCTGTCTCCCTCAGGGTCAGGCGGACCTGCTGAAGCACGCCAGGAGTGAAGTCCAGGAGAACCTCAAGCAGATCCACTACGCCGCCCTCACCTGTAACCTGAGCAAAGGCGGATCAGGGGGCGGCTCCTGCGGCTCCGAGTCCAAAAGCAGACGCAGCCTCGAGGCTATTCCCGAGAAGGCCGTCGCTGAGGACGAGCTCACCGACGAGGACAACTAAAAACCGACAACCCTGCTATCAAAACCCAAAGCTCTCTGTCTCTACCCGGGCGCCATCATCATCATGGCTCCACTGTGTCACCATGTCGCCGTGTTTTCACACATTCCATCGTGTAAACATTCCCGTATCCTCAACACAGCTGTAACCTCTCAGACGTCTGCCTCGTCAACATCAACAAAATGCCGCCGACGCTCCAGGACAGAATTTCTCCCAGAGTTCACAGCGAGCTCGGAGAAGTCTGGAGGATTACCGTTATTATTTCTCAGTCTTAAGGAGCTGCACTGAAAGTTTTTTAATATTTGTTTCACATCTGATGTTGCCTTGGAGTTGACGTTTGCACACAACACACCAAATCTTCACATACAGCTACAAAAACAAAAAACATAAAGGGATACTGTCTGATGATTATCTGAGTGAGACAGAAACTGTGTTTTAAAAGCATTAAACTCAGAGAAGTCTTCATCTACACCTCTAAAACACGTGTTCATCTTAACCCCTTTATTCCTCTCCTCTTTTCCTGGGTGAGCGGAGCGAGCGAGTGGTCAGACTGTCACATTGACCTTCTGTTCAGAGACTTTCACTTCTTCTCAGCCGACGTGGCTTTTACACGAGGACATGAACAGAAAAGAGCCTTGGATTGTCAAAAGAGATTTCTTAAAGCACAATTTTTTGGAGTTTGAATGTAAGAAGGAAGGAGGAAACAAGGACAGACCGGAGAAAGACGGGATGGACTCGTCCCAAGAGTGAAGAGCTGTTTACAATACTGAACTTGTCCATGTTCTTGTCTGCCAAAATAGTATAATATACTATGTGTATATATGGAGTTTCCTGTTACCTTTTTTTCTGCAGAGTGCATCATTTTATTATTGTATACTTGGAAATATAAGATTTATTTTATAAAAGATATATGAACCTGTATGTGGAGAAACTAAAAAGTTTTATTTGTCTGTTAATATCTGAAGTTGAGGGTCGTCGTCGTTGTAGAGAAAGTGACCTCATCGTTTTCCCAGCAGAGCGCTTCGATAAGTGGAGAAAGAGGGACTAAAAGTAGAATGTATTCAAGCCGTTTGTGGTGCAAATTACAGCCGATTCTCAAAAATCCCAACCAGCAACTGCATGAGAAGGACCCGCAACCGGTGTCCACAACACGCACTCAAACACTATCCGGACGTCGACACATTTTCATATTCAAGCATCTCTCTTGGGGATTTGTTCGAGCTTTTCTTTCTGGGGCATGGTCCTCCCATTTCAGAGATGTAGAAACTCATTTCACAGTTAATTTCGAGGTTCACAAACCGTGAAAAGTGCCACATTTTTTATCCAGGTGTGCCCCAACCGTTCCCACTGTTGGAAAACTCATTCCTTTGTCGGCTCGTCATCGTTTAGCTCAGCTATTTCTTAGAGCAGAATAATTGAATACTTCCCACAGGAAAATTCAGAGATGTGTCTGAACTGCAGACTGTTAAAGGGAGCTCATGTACAAAAACAAAGCTTTCATTTCTATCGGCTGTTCCAACTTTTAAACATGTTTAAGGCGTGTTGTCTCATGAGCTCTGCCATGTTGCGTCCTGCAGTAAGTCACAGTTCAATGTGCGGCTCACCCACCTTCAGTTTTTGGAGATGTTGTCTGTGCAGCCGACTCCTTACAGCTGAAGTCAAGCGAGTCACAACACTCTGATTGAAACCCTTTGTAAGAATTTTAACTCAGGTCTAGTGGAATGGTTGAGATGGAAACGAACTCCAGAGTAATAATCGCATCGTTCTCGCTCCCTGTGACAGTATTTCATCCAGAGTTTTCCTGTGGTTTAGCCGTGCTACATTACAGATCACGAGTTTAGAAGAAGAAGAGAGTTTTTGTCTTGAAATGCCTTCCCAACACGCTGCTTCATAAGTGCTTTTGCTTGCTTTTCATTTAACAGTCCATATTAGTGTCTTTGATTTTTCAAAATGAGCTGCAACTTATTCACATCAAATGAGTCAAACCTCCGTTCAACAACCGTAATCACAGGTAAAGAAGCATCCATCTCTGCATCCAGCTGCACTGGTCTGCACCCTGATCTCCGGTAGCAGTTAAGTGCATCACCTCATTACCATACCATCCTCGCTCACTCACATTGCTTCATGGCTCCTGCGATGGCGTTAAGACTGGAGTTAATTGCAAAGGCATCCATACAGCTAACCTACACTTCTTGAGTGATTCTGTTTCTTTCTGGTTTAGCAAGAACATCAAAGAAGGAAGAGAACTACCGAAAGAGAGCTGCAGCACTTCATCAGTTGCTTATGCTGCGTTCGAGTTATCTCGGAAGTCAGATGTCTGAGCTGAGAATGACGTCACACCCGAGTTACCAGCGTTTGAGTTATCAAAGTTGGAAGAAAGCAGAATCAGAGGCGGAAATAAGATGGCTTCCAAGGTACCTCGAACGCAGTGTTACTCCAGGTCAGGGATCAGATTCTAGATCATATCTGTAGTGCACTGGCACAGGTTCTCCTCACCAATTTTATTCTCCTGTTTTCCCGCCTCTGCATCCAGCTGCACTGGTCTGCATCCTGCCCTCTTTCCCATCATTCAGGCAGCCAATCAGCGCAGCGCCTCATGACCATAGCGTCCCTGCCCACACAGATCACTGCACGGCTCTTATGGTGACATAAAGGAATTTACTATTCTAGTCCAGCCTTAGTGTTGCACAACCAACTAACTCACAGAAAGCAAAGAGGCTGGAGCAGCACTCAGAGACATGCTGTTCTAACTGCAGCGCTTCAACAGTTTCCTCCTTCAGTTCAGAGTCAGATTTAGGATCAGGTGTGGTGTGTACTAGCGCAGGTTCTTCTGGAGCACTCGCCATTTCTATTATGGTGTTTTTCCGCCTCTTGCATTCATCTGCACTCATAACAACAGCACCCCCCCTCTTAGTTCACCACGTGGACAAGGAGGTCAGAAACTGAGAGGCTGCAGATCCTCAGGCTGAATTTGTGATTCTTATATTTATGCAGCTGAATTCAACCGATGTACTCGACTCTTGTATAAATAAGAGTCAATTTCCTTTTTAATATTGCATAGAAATATGAAGTGCAGTTCTTCAAGTGAACTCCTGCATTTCTGCTCCTCTGATACTGCCTGGTTGCTCATTTAACCAGCATATTACTACTTTCAGCAGCTTGGCACCATAACTTCCTATAATGATGATGAGCTGTGTCGAATATTTCTTTACAGTTCATCTCTTGCAACTGAAACTTGTATTACTGATCGGTAATTTAGCCTTTAGTAGGAGATATAAAGCCTGTGACAAGACAGGTAGCATTATGTCTTGCCTTAATATATTAAAAAAGGTTTTTTTTAAGAAGTTTTTGGTGCATTTTTGCTTTTCTTGGATAGGATCGCTTAAGAGAGACACAAAACGTGGGGCATTATGCTGAAAAGGAGACATGCAGCAACTATTGCACGCGCTTGATGAAAATCTAGAGGAAATATAAATAACCAGCAAAGACGAGTTATTTTATCCACTTCCACACATGCAGTAGTCGTCCTTCTCTTGACACGAGGTATTTGGACTGTTAAATGGAGCATTTCTTCAATGTTTGTCCACAGCTGTTTTGATTCCTCCTCTCCCTCCCCTTCTGTGTTCCTTTACTGTTCACGCCTCCTCCTCGACACACAGGAAACATAACAGAAAGTTGTCTCTGAATTTCAGTGCTGTGCTGTTGTTAAATGGATGGAAAAAAAGCAGCATTTCAACTGTATTCCTGTCTCATCTCTTTATCTGTCAAGTCCACAAAAAAAGAGATAAAAAAACACCTCTGAATAAAAAAACGTTGGATATTTTTCCGTGTGTGTTGTGTTGTATCATTCAGCTGTTTGCTCTGACAGCAGCATGGGTAAGACATGTTGTTTTTCATCACTTCTGTATCCTGTAGTATTGACCAACAGCTAAATTCACACACCTTCAGCTTCCTCCCGTTTTCCTCAACAACAGTAACATCTGTGAAATCCGTCCTCTGCCCGCTGATGAGCTCTGTGCTCCCTGCAGCAGAGCGGTCAGTGCTCCACACGGCTTCAACTCTTCCCCTCAGGCTGAACCGCATCGGGGTGACCTTCCTGCTCTGGTCAGCAGCACCACTCTTACCGCCCCCCTTTCCCCTCATCCGTTGGCAGCTATGAAAGTAGTTCACATTCCAGGGCCGCTGAATCACCTCATCGTCCTCCTCTTCTTCTTATTGAAAGAAAAAGAAAAATCGCTCAAGGGTACAACATCACTCCTGGGTCAAAGGAATTTTTCATGATTTTATTTCCTTGCCTCTGGTTTTGACTTCTTCAGGTCTGAGTATCGGATTTTTATCAGGAAATCAAAGCTGGGTCTTCTGCTGCTCTTATTCCAGGTCTGCTTCGATTAAATCGTTACAGCCAAGTGGCCCACATCAGACTTCTTCAAACACCAACATGAGTCCTTAATAGACCTTCACTACAGCGTCAAATATTGGATTCTTCTGTATCACTGAGGTATGCTGTAGGAATGTTAATATGTTACTGAGTCCCAAACATGAGAATATGAATTAAGTCCAGCTGCAGTTATGGCTCAATTATGCGATCTTACTGGATTACTGATCTTGTCCCGATTCACAAACAGCATAAAAATTGATTTATTGACTACAGCATGTCCACCTCCACTACAGTAGGTGGCGTTATGCCCCCTTTCAGCTGACCTATTGCGTCAAATACCAAAACAATCACCAAACACATTAGCAAGAAGATAACAGCTTGTAAGTTGAATAATGAAAACTGTCAACTTTATATCTCTGTACCTCCACAGCTTAATCTGATTTTTATGGTCCCTCCATTTATGTTGTCAAACTTCTGGGTCAAAGCCCAACATGTAACCGTGGCACAAACAAAAGGACACATGGGACAGTTTAGGTTCAATTTGGGTGAAAACATGGGAGAGAAAATTGATCTCTGTCAAAGTGGTGAATGGGTAAATAAGGCTTACTGCCAGGCTGCAATATAC